CCTTAAGGCACAGTGAGGTCTGTCACCACTGGGACTAAATGGTCCCAGACTGATGACCTTTCTGGAGTTCTTGGCTCAGCTTTTTACAGGGACTTATTTCTTTTTATGGGCTATTTATTTATTTATTGCTACTCAGTATTGGTGGCCTCAGGCAGTGCCTCCCACCTCTTTCTAATTTGCTCCATTCATACAAATATTTGTTTTAACACCTACATTATGGGTGACACGGTACATTTTTCACCTGTTGGATCCGAGCACCGTAGCCATGGTCTTTTCAATTCCAAGTTTCAGAAGGCTACTAGCTTAAGTAAAATATGACTGTTTATTATATGGCTACGTGGTTATCTCAAGGGCAAAGGTGAACCAGAAGGCAGAATCACGAAGCAGAAACTCAGCATGAACCAAAGAGGCCATTTTCTTAGTCTCTCTCACCTCTGCATCTCTTTGCCCATCTGTTTCATTGTTTTGCTCTTCAGACTACTTTTCTTGGCTTCTCTACGAACATGATGGTTATGTCAGCTCGGTTCCAGTCACCTGCAGAGAACAAAGAGCTGCCTCTATCCCAAGGCCACAGCCAGAGAAGAGAATCAGACTGGCTGGGTTTGGGTCAGATTCCCACCTTTGGCCAGAGGATTAAGTCACATAGTACAAAAATGGCTGCTGGGCCACCTCTAAGAGAAAGGACAGCCTAGAGGAAGAAGGTAGTGATGAACTGGCTTAAGCTTAACAAGCAACAAAGAAACCAGATAATCAAAACTGTCCCAAGCATATCTAAAATAAAATAAATAAGCTAGGTGTGAGGACCTGAGGCATTCCCTATATAGAAAGAACATGACGTTTGACCCCATTGTTTTGTGGTATGTACTTTTTCTTCTGAGGCCTTGATTGTTTACTCTGTTTATTATTATTATTGAGATATAATTTACATACCATAAAATTTGCCCTTTTAAGGTGTACAATTCAGTGGCTTTTACTATATCCACAGGTTCTGCAATTATCACCACTATCTCATTTCCAGAACATTTTCATCACCCCAGATGGCAACCTTGTACTCATTAGCAGTCACTCCTCATTCTTCCTTTCCTGCAGCCCCTAGCAACCACTAAGCTGCTTTCAGTTTCTGTGGCTTTGCCTATTCTAGACATTTCATGAAAATGGAATCATATAGCATGTGGCCTTCTGTATCTGGCTTTTTTCACTTTGCATAATGTTGTCAAGGTTTATCCATGGTGTAATATGTATCAGCACTTCGCTTTTTTTTTTTTTTACTGTTCACTAGTTTGTTACAAAGGATACGGATGAAGGATGCATAGGGTAAGTATGGGGCAACAGGCGTGGAGCTTTTATTACCTCCCCAGGTATGCCACCAATCAGTAAGCTCCAAGTGTTCGGTAATCTGGAAGCTCTCTGAACACAGGCCTCTTGGGTTTGTATGGAAGCTTTATTATGCAGGCATGATTGATTAAATCACTGGTGATCAACTTAACCATCAGCCTCTCTCCCTTCTCTGGAAGTTGGGGGATTGGGCTGGAAGTCCCAACCCTCTAATCCTGCCTTGGTCTTTCCTGTGACCAGCCCCCATCCTCAATTCATTCCTTTTTATAGCTGAATAATATCCCACTGTATGAATAGACCATATTTTGTTTTTCCATTCATCACTTTATGAACATTTAGGTTATTTTCCACTTTTTGGCTATTTGTGAATGCTGCTTTGAACATCCATGTACAAGTCTTTCCATAAACATATCTTTTCAGTTCTCTGGGGTATATACCTAGGAGTGAATTGCTGGGTGATATAATTCTAAGTTTAACATTTTGAGGAACTGCCAAACTGTTTTCCAAAGTGACCGCACTATTTTACATTCTCACCAGTAATGTTTGAGGGTCCTAGTTTCTCCACATACTTGCCATTTTTTTTTCTTTTTTTTTAAAGATGACTGGTAAGGGGATCTTAACCCTTGACTTGGTGTTGTCAGCACCACGCTCTCCCAAGTGAGCTAACCAGCCATCCCTCTATAGGGATCAGAACCCGTGGCCTTGGTGTTATCAGCACCAGGCTCTCCCAAGTGAGCCACGGGCCGGCTCTCTTGCCATCTTTTTTACTGGCCATCTTTTTTATTGGCCAAAGCCATGTTAATGGAGATGAAACGGTATGTCATTGTGATTCTGATTTTCATTTCCCTAGTGACTAATAATATTGAGCATCTTTTCATGTCCTTATCGACCATTTATAAATCTTCTTTAGAGAAATGTCTCTTCAGGTAGTTTTGCCCACTTTTAAATTGGATTGTCATTTTATTGATGAGTTGCAAATCCTTAAGATATTCGAGATACTAGACTCTCATCAGATATACAATTTGCAAATGTTTTTCCCATTCTGTGGGTTGTCTTCACTTTTTTGATGATTTCTTTGAAGCAAAAAGTTTTAAGTTTTGAAGAAGTAGTCCAACTTATCTATTTTTTGGTTGTTGTTGCCTGTGCTTTAGTGTCATGTCTAAAAAACTATTGCCTAATCCAAGGTCACCAAGATTTGCACCTATATTTTCATCAAAGAGATTTATAGTTTTAGCTCTTATATTTAGGTCTTTGATCCATTTTCAGTTAATTTTTATACATGGAGGAGGTAGGGGTCCAACTTCTTTTGCATGTGTACATCCAGTTGTTCCAGCACCATTTGTTGAGGACTATTCTTTACTCATTGAATTGTCTTTGCACCTTTACTGAAATTCTGTTTCTTTTAGAACTAAATTCTCAAGGTTGCCCAATAACTGATCACACGCAGTCAGGCATACAACAGCAAAAAAAAAAAAAAAAAAAAAAAAAAAAAAGCAACTGAATATGATTAAGAAGTGTGCATTTGAAAAGCCAAACTGTAACCAGCAGTTACTTTTATTTTATATATAATAAGATTATTCTGCGTAGTACATTGGATATGTTCACTATCTTGATTGTGGTGATGACTTCATGTGTGTATACATATGCCAAACTTATCATATTGTATATTTTAAATATGTGCAGTTTATTGTATGTCAATTATACCTCAATAAAGCTGGTTTTAGAAAGATATAAATTAAGGGCACAAATCATAAATGAAATAACTTTCTTTTCCTAATCATTCTTCAGGATCAGCTTCTCTTGTTGGGGCTAATGATATGTTACCCACTAGTAATTTAGGAAAAATTGTATTTCTACATTTCTCTTAACTGACCTTGTTCCAAAATGCAAGCAAACCACTTAAATTCAGGATTTGTAAGGCTGGGATAAACTCATTACTATGGGATAAGTATTAATGAGGGCTGGAAATATGTTTGATTCTTAAGGAAAAGCATTTTTAAGTTTCCTTCCAATGAGGATTTAGCAAGTGGGTTTTCCTTTTCTATTCAGAATTTAACCCCCGCCCCATTGCACCAGCCTCCATTTTGGCAGAGACTTTGTTCACGTCCATATCCCCATCATCAAGAACCCTGCCAAGCACTAGACAGGCATTCAGTAAATATCTGTCAAATGAATGAATAAAATCACACTTAACCTGTTACCACCTTTTCCTGGGACCACTGTGGCTGAGACAGACAGCATCTCTATTCCTCCCCCTAACTTAACAATTCTGTCTCTAGAGGCAGATACTGTTTTCTGCAAATTTTCTTATTATTCACCTTTTCATGTTTGGAAAAACAAGGTGGTATGGCTTAGGAATCTCACATCCAAGAAGTGAACTAAAATGTTGTATCAAAGATTGTGCATAGGATCCACAAACTAAGAAGCAATCAGATGAGAGCAGTAAGGGAAATCATGTCATATCCTTTGGAACAAACAGTCCACAGATTAAAGTGATCATTATGATGAGTCTGCAGTAACATGGAAAACAATCAGAAAATGAAAAGCACAACCACTGATTATGATTACAAACTAAAATTGTTTACCAATTACTGCTAGAATTTATACCGCGTGAAGGCAGGATGTTTTGCTTGCTCTGTTCACTGGACAGTGCCTGGAATATGGAAGGTGCTTATTAATATTCATTGAATGTATTAGTGAAACTAAATATTATCTATGAAAACATATATATATATATATATATATATATATATATTTTTTTTTTTTTTTTTAAAGATGACCGGTAAGGGGATCTTAACCCTTGACTTGGTGTTGTCAGCACCACGCTCACCCAGTGAGCTAACCGGCCATCCCTATATGGGATCCGAACCCGTGGCCTTGGTGTTATCAGCACCGCACTCTCCCGAGGCCGGCCCTATGAAAACATATTTGAAGGGAATAAACAAACATACACGTGGAAAATTGTGTAGGTGTTTCTTCACTTTCTCTCTCGTTTCCAATTCTTCCTAAAGTTGTAATAAGGCATGCTCAGTGGAAAGGATGGCCAGAGAAACACCTCCCCTGGCTCTGGCTGTTGCTTCTCCTGGCCTGCAACTAAGGAAGCATCTAAACTGGAGTAGGATGTGGCCAGGCTTCACTTCCAAAAGGGTCATTTTTAAGGGGCTCGTGGCTCCAGCCGGGGGCTCCTAGGACACCTTTTAAGCTTTTTACCCAGAGACTAAGAAGGCGACGTCGCCCCACTCCCCGCATCAGAGCCTGCACAAGTTTGGGTCTCCTGAGGAATGGCTCTTCTCTACAGCCCTCAGATCCTCTAAGGTCACTGGTACCTCCTAGGCCCTCTAACGGGGATTGCCCGTTACCCCACATCCGTTCCGACCTCGGCCCCCCTGCGGGGGTAACTCGTTCCCAAGGGGGAGGTCACTCCTTCCCCGCGGGCCCCATCCCCCTGAGTGTGTCACTGGATCCCCTAGCCCTCCTGAGGGATGACTAGTCCCCGAGGGGAAGGTGACGTCCTCCCCGTGGCCCCAGGTCCCGAGGGCCCACGCCGCCTCCTTCCGAGCCCTCCCCCGCGATGACGGCACCGCGGGCCGGCCGGGCCGCCTGGGCGGGGCTCCCGAGTGGGAACGGGAACGAGGCGGCGGCGGGCCCACACAGAGCGGGGCCCGGTGGCGGCAGGCACGGCCATGGCGGGCTGCTGCGCCGTGCTGGCGGCCTTCCTGTTCGAGTACGACACGCCGCGCATCGTGCTCATCCGCAGCCGTAAAGTGGGGCTCATGAACCGCGCTGTGCAGCTGCTCATCCTGGCCTACGTCATCGGGTGAGCGCGGCCGCTCGGGGGCAGCGGCTCGGGGGTCACCGGCGGCAGGGGCCAGCCTCCGGTTCCGGGCCGTGCACCTGCTCACCCTGGCTGGGGTTACCGGGTGAGCCCCGCGGGCGACCTCCGGGAGGCGCCGACCTGAAGCCAGTGATACACACTCCCCGGGCATTTGCCACAGACGGGCTCTGTGCCGGGGCTCCGAGGGTAGGGTGCTGTTTTGATGCTGTGTTTTGAGGGCAAAGCCTGGCTAGACCTTCATCCCCGCGTTTCCTGCTTCTTAACCGTCCGACTTGCTCCGTGGTGCCGCTGCCCAAACATCTCAATCTTCGCACTTCACTTCCCGCTCTCATTATCTGCTGACAAAATTCAGGCTTGAGATTTCCATTTGGTTCCTCTGGACCTCGTGGCTTCCGGTCCTTTCCTTTGAGCACCGAGTGGTAACCTATGATAGTAGAGAAGCCAAACTTCCCAGAAGTATTTCAAGTTCACTTCCTTTGTTTTTGGGGTTTGCCAGGGTTGCCGGGTTGTATAGGCATCTGCCTTAGCCTGGTCGTTCCCCATGCTGTCCTCTTGGGCATATACATAGTGTATGCCCTGCCACCCTCAGGCCCCAATGAATGTTTACTTTTAATTGAATGCACCCGTTACAATTTAATGCAACCCGGGAGAGGAGGTGGAAATTGCCTTGCCATCTGGGCCCACTTTAAAGGTTCAGCCGGGCTGTGAACGGTCTCTACAGCTGCTGGGCTGACCGATGTGTCTACTCTCATTTCCTTTTCTGAAAAGGCCTAGTGTAGTAGTCCCCAACCTGCACATTGGAACCATCTGGGAATCTTTAGAAAATACTGATTGCTGGCTTCCATCTCCAGACCTTGTGATTTAAATGCTATAAAGTATGACCAATCCCCAAGTGATTCTGATGTTCAGCAAAGTTTGGGAACCAGTGATCCCGTGTTTCCCAAACTTACCTGATCATGAAAGACTCATCTGAGGAATTGTTTAAAACTAACAGATCCCCCACCTTGGGGTGGGTTTTGGAATCTGTTAACACTGCCCAAGGGAATTCACATGATCCATCTGGTTTGGCTCCCAACATCCGTCAGCCCAGCAGCAGTAGGTACTGACAGTATTCAAGAAAATGGCTTTCCAGGGCCGGCCCGGTGGCGCACTGCGCTAGTGTGCCGCTTGGGAAGCGCAGCGGCGCTCCCGCCCGAGGGTTCAGATCCCACATACAGACCGGTTCCCGCTCACTGGCTGAGCGAGGCGCAGGGGCAACACCGAGGGTTGCGATCCCGTTGCCGGTCCCGGTCCGGTACAGGGGCGACACTGAGGGTTGCGATCCGTTGCCAGACACGGAAAAAGACAAAAAAAAGAAAAAAAAGAAAATGGCTTTCCAGGTATAGACTCAGCGTCAGAACCAACTGGCCGACACCCAGGTTTGGACTCTTTAAGTCTCAGAGGTTAGGTAGTACCAATACCACCAACTCCTCACCCCACAGTGATTGTAATGTACTCTTCAGTTTTGATCCAGTACTAGCTAGTTAACTAAACTCACATTGTTGGTTGGACCTGAAGCATTTGGGACCAAGAGCTCTCATGCAGCTTTTTACTCTTGGATTTTGTTCTCATGGGAGGATCAGTTCACTTCTAGTCTTAGGGTGCCTGTAAAATTCTGAAAGTATCTATAGCTCTGTTGTACCATATGGTACCCACTAGCCACATGTGGCTATTGAACACTTGAAATGTTCCTACTCCAAATTGAGATGTGCTAACTGAAAAATACACTGGATTTTGAAGACATAGTACCCCCCCCCCAAAAAAAGCACATAAATACATTTTTTATTGATAACATGTTAAAATATTTTGGATATATTGGGTTATGTAAATATATCATTAAAATTAATTTTTCCTGTTTCTTTTTACTTTATAACATGGCTAATAGAAATTTTTAAATTATATATATGGCTCACATTATTTCTTTGGGGCAGCACAGCTCTGTGGGCTTCTTATGGAGTATTTTCTACCTTGATCATGAGGACTTTTAAAGCAGTAAATGCTTCACTTTTATCCATCTTGCTATGATCAAACTGACTCAAGATCTGAATTAAGGGTTTTTTTTTTTTTTCTTTTTAACTTATCTCTTAACTTCCTGATCCAGTTCATCTTGGAGAGATTGTGGTCTCTTCTCCCATAGTAACCTACAGCAACGCTTCTTGAAAAAGAAACTAGGGCCGGCCCGTGGCTCACTCGGTAGAGTGCGGTGCTGATAACACCAAGGCCGCGGGTTCGGATCCTATATAGGGATGGCCGGTTTGCTCACTGGCTGAGCGTGGTGCTGACAACACCAAGCCAAGGGTTGAGATCCCCTTACCGGTCATCTTAAAAAAAAAAAAAGAAAGAAAGAAAAAGAAACTAAACATGCAACTGGGGTTCACTAATTCTGTTATCAGTCACATGATGAGGAAATAGTTAATCACATGATAATAACTGGTATGAAGCCATGTGTATCTGATTTAGCCACTCACTGTACTTGGTGGTAAAATAATAGTGGTCTTCCTGCCCTGTGCTTCTGTGTGTCAGACTGGAATTGAATAGAAGCTTATATTGCGGTTGAGTTCCTAGCAGCCCTGAAGAGGACTTGTCAGGAGAAAAGCTCATCTCTAGGATGGGCAATGAATTTGGGGACTGCTTAGATCAGACCAACCAGTGAATTTCTGAAGTCTCAGTGTCTAGGACTTAAAAGAAGGGGAGACAGAACCTAGCGTTTCTTGATTCTAGAAATAATAACAACAATAATAGTCTCTGATAGATGTTTAACAACAGCTCTGGAGGGTAGGAGTTCTGATTTGTAGTCCTGGCCACCATTTCCATGGTGTCAATACTCCCTCTGTGTCAATTTCAGACTCACAAACATTATTATAAGCACTTATCATACATTAACTCATTTAACCTCACAACAGTCCTGTGGTGTTCTGTTATCATTCCCATCTATAAGATAAAACTGAGGCACAGAGAGGTTAAGCAACTTGGTCAAAGTCATGCCTCATGAGTGGTGGAGACGAAACATTAACTGAGACCCACTCGCTCCAGTCTGTTCTGGTGTCTTAACCACTATGTGCTAATGCCTTCAGATTTTTAATTATTCAGACTGGTAATAATGTCCTTACTTTAGAGGAGAGAAACATACATATGACCTGAATTATTGGGAACAAAAGAAACTATATAAAAAGTTCCTTGAAAGATGTGATTCTCTTTTTTAGAGAGACTAGGGCATAGTGGCAAGAGAAGAGGCTTCTGGCTTGAGTTCAAATTCTGACTGCTACTCACTAACTGAGCAACCTTGGGCAAGTGGCTTAACCTTCTGTATCAGTTTCCTCTTCTAAAATGGAGATAATAATGATATCTGCCACATAAAGTGGTCAGGATTTAATGAGTTAATACATATAAAGAGCTTAAGTCAGTGCCTGGCACCTAAAAACACTGAAGGGGTAACTGTAATTATCATAATTTTTCTAAGCTCTTGGTAATTCCCAGAGGTCATAGAGTATTGAAAGAGCTCAAATATCTAATAATAAAGACAGCATTCACTGAGCATTTCCTTTGTGCTGATCACTGTGCTAAGTGCTTTACCTGCATCATATCAAACTGTGGTTTAGGTGCTACTATCCCCATTTTGCAGAAGTGGAAATGGAGCCCCCAGAAGTTAAGAAGCTTTTGCAAAGTCACGTAATTAGTAAACGTCTCGTACTTTCAGCCTCTGGCTACCAGAAGCTCTTTGGTATCAATTCAAATTCACTCAATCGGAATGGCAGTTTAAGAAGCCTGTTTTATTTTATAGGTGGGTGTTTGTGTGGGAAAAGGGCTACCAGGAAATGGACTCTGTGGTCAGCTCAGTTACTACCAAAGTCAAGGGCGTGGCTATGACCAACACTTCTAAACTTGGATTCCGGGTCTGGGATGTGGCCGATTATGTGATTCCAGCTCAGGTATGTCTTCTAACACTGAAGCCTCTAGATTGCTCCTTTCTCTTTGTTGACTTTGCACACTTGATTAATAACTGGCATGACCAGAGTTCTAACACCACCGATGTGGTGGTAAGACTGACTGTTTTAGTCCAAGAAAGCAGTGCAGCCAGATCTCTTTTTGGCACAGGGTCTAGCAGATTGTATTCGGTCGGCCATGGTTCTTCAGCACTAAAACGTGGCTAGCTTAAACACAGGGAACTTTTCATATGAACATCTCAGTCTGTCTGAAGTCCTGAAAGGTGAGAAAGCGAATGTCTTAAATCCTGGGAAAAGTTCTGGTGGAAATATCACCTTTCCACATTTTGGATGTGCTTTATTGTTATGAACCCACAAGGTAAATTTTTTCAGACAGTGTAAAAACTTTAATAGCAATTAGAGACCAAAACCCAAACAAGAAGGATACAGATGTACCAGCATTAGGATTCCATCGGGAACAAAGGTAAGGGAAGAAGTTATTAGATGTGGCATCCTAGTCTCTGGTCTATTAATCCAACAAGCTCCAAGTTAAACATTGACTCTTTAGCTGTGGTAACAGCTGTGCAGTGCACGGCCAAACCCCAACATACCCTTCCAGATGGCTTATGTGCTAGGGTCCCTAGGGTGGCCAAATACAGATAAGCCGCCAGCTCTTGGCTCAGAGCTCTGTGAGGGAAAGCCAGGACTTCAGAAACTCTCTTCTAGTATGTTCATTTTCATCCCTGCCTTCTCCCCAGAAGGGTCCTGTGGGGTGCCCAGAGAGAAGACAAAGCTAATGTGCCATAAAGGTCAGGGGATTTGCAGCTGGCTAGAGGAAGGTGGTCCTGCTGGCGTGCACCTATCTCAGCAGAGAGACTGCTGCTTCCTGTGAAGGCATGGCCTTGGCCTAGCAAGCTCTGGGAATGTCGGCTTGGTGTGTTCACTGTAACCAAGGAAGGGTATGAGCTCTGCTTCTGCCCCTTGTTGGAAGGGAACTCCTAGCAGCTCTGCCTTCCGTGGCAGGTCTGGGCTGGGGGCGGTGTATGCCATGGAGCTCTCTTCGTGAGCTTGTCTTTGTGTCACCAGGTCTTTGTGTTTCTCTGTAGATGGAACACAACCACCTGTTTGCATCTACTTGGCTCACCTCCAGTCTGAAATTCCCCTAAGTTCGAAATACAAGATAAGAGATAGGAAACAAAAAGTAGACTATACTGAATTGTTCAAGTCTGACTCAGGAGAGTCTTAGGAGCAGCCTTCCAAAAATACCAAATGAAGAGTGTTTATATATTGAACACCTGGGAGCATGGCAGGGTGTCAGGAGAGAGACTCCAGCTCCGGCTACATCCTCATGCCTCCTCCTCTTGTCATTTCCTTGTCTCCCAACATGGTTTGTTCTAGATCTTTCTTTGGAAGATCCAGCTATTCCTACAGCTTCCACCACCTAGTCAGACCTGGGGGTGGGCTCTACACATCCTTTGGTTCTCAAGTTAACCTGATCCCAGAGATGGCTCCCATTGCTGACTGTGTTCTTCCAAGGAGAGTGAAATGCTGAAAGCTTCGGACATCTCCTTTTAAAATTCCGGTGCTCTGGGCCGGCCCGGTGGCGCACTGGATAGTGCACCGCTTGGGAAGCGCGGCGGCGCTCCCGCCCGAGGGTTCGGATCCCACATACAGACCGGTTCCTGCTCACGGAAAAAAGACAAAAGACAAAAAAAAAAAAAAAAAAAAAAAAAAAAAAAAAAAAAAAAAAAAATTCCGGTGCTCTCCTGATCATTCTTGAAATAGCTAAATTAATTAATTAATTAATATAAAACGCCATTGCCCGATGGGGGGGGGGGTGTCCAACTAGAATCTTCTGCGGTCTTTGTCTTTTACTCCTTATATTAGAAGGTCCTTATTAACAATTCTTCAGTTTCATTCCCAGCAGTTCACTTTCCAAAAACTCTAAATCCTTGATTTGGCACCTTCATACCTACAAACAGAAAACAGAACCTTCTCAAAGAGAGAAGTATCAATTGCTGACCCTGATTGAATCTTCTCCAGAATGTTTTATTTTTAATTCTGGCTAGGAAAGAAAACCAGCCAAATTTGAGAACTTTGAGACCTAGTGTTTTTATATCTCTGAGATAATCCAGTTGGTAGAGGATCTTTTGAGCAATTGTTGGCTCTTTTTCCTCAAGTCAAGCTGTATTGAGCAACCATTTCAGATTGTAGACTCTGTTTTAATTGAGGTAAAATTCATGTAACAGAGAAATTTACCATTTTAAAATGAAAATCTCAGTGGCATTTAGTGCATTCACAGTGTTGTGCAACCATTGCCTCAATTTAGTTCCAGAACATTTCCATCACCCTGAAGAGAAACCCCCTACCCATTAGCAGTCACTCCCATGTCCCCTTCCCTCCTCCCTGGCAGTCACTAACTGCTTTCTGTCTCTATGAGTTTGCCTGTTCTGTAAATTTCATATCAAAGGAATCATACAATATGCAGCCTTTTGTATCTGGCTTCTTTCATTTAGCATAATGTTTTTCGAGGCTTATCCATGTTGTAGCATGTGTCAGTGCTGCATTCCTTTTTATGGCTGAATGATATTCTGTTGTATGGATAGATCACATTTGATTTATCCATTCATCTGTCCACAGACGTTTGGGCTGTTCACACCTTTTGGCTATTGTGAAAAGTACTGCTATGAACATTCATGTATAGGTATTTGTTTGAGACCCTGTTTTCAATTAGGTTACAAGCTCTCAGGAGAGCATGGGAGACCGTCAGATCAGTTTCTTGAGCTGTCCTCTCAAGTAAGCATCTGACTTTCTTTATGTCCTTGTTCAACTCCTCTGAGGGTGACACAACAGTGCTCTCTCCCCTCTGCCTGCTCTGCAGGAGGAAAACTCCCTTTTCATCATGACCAACATGATCATCACCATGAACCAGACGCAGGGCATCTGTCCTGAGGTAGGTGGCTCCTCGGGAAAGAGCCTCAGGCCTCACAACCCCCTCTCCACTGCTGTCTGACTGTGTGTGGGGCCGGGCCACGTGGAACTTGATTTCATTCATTCTTCTATTTCCAGATTCCAGATCAGACCACTGTGTGTGAATTCAATGCCAACTGCTCTGCTGGCTCCTCAGGCACCCACAGCAACGGTACGAGGATAAGGTTGTGACCCCACAGCAGATACTTGGCCTGGGGAGGGCAGCCCCCAATGAGATCGCCTCCCCTATGGAGCTTCTCAGATAGAGAAATCTCAGGGGTAAAGAAATTCCCAATTCCTTGGGCCGGCCCGGTGGCGCACTGCTACAGTGTGCCGCTTGGGAAGCGCGGCGGCGCTCCCGCCGAGGGTTCGGATCCCACATACAGACCGGCCGCTCACTGGCTGAGCGAGGTGCGGGAGCAACGCCGAGGGTTGCGATCCCGTGGTTGGTCCCGGTCCGGTACGGGCGCGACACTGAGGGTTGCAATCCGTTGCCGGTCACGAAAAAAGACAAAAAAAAAAAAAGAAATTCCCAATTCCTCAATGCTTTCACATGAACTTGGGTGAGCCTAGTGTCAAGATTGTGGCCCAGGGACCCTCTCTCTACATTCACCTCATTGTGTGAGCCCCAGAAGCCATCCCAGATCTTGCTTAGTTCTGTGGCTTAGAGTCACCCTGGCCATGAGTCAGCAAAGCAGAGATGTGGCCAGCACTCAGGTGACTGTCTCCCTCCAGTTCCAATTTCTGGACACTGTCTGAATCCCAGAATTGGAATAGCTCAAGATTGGCTGCATAGGATGTGTGGTGGGGGTCTCACTGTCCACCCCACAAAGATAGAAAACAGGAGACCTGTGGGCCTGAGTCCCCCCTGCCCCTGTAGGAGTTGCAACTGGCAGATGTGTACCGTTCAACGGGTCTGTGAAGACATGCGAGGTGGCAGCCTGGTGCCCAGTGGAAGACGATACACATTTGTCAAAGTGAGTTCTGCCTGAGGGAAGGAAGTGCCCTAACTCTGGTGCTGGGGCTTGAGGGGAGGCGACAGCAGAGTTAAGCCTGTGGGGCGGGGGGGGGGGGCTTTCTGTGTGTGCTTGGTGTCAGTGTGGATTCAGGCTGCCCTGGGATGGCAGTTCTCAACCACCAGGCAGCAATCAGTAGCAGTGAGGTGAACCACAAGTGTTTGTTACTCATGATAAGGGTGCAGATGACTTCCTTGTATGTTATGACTATGTCAGTTACAAATAACTGACAGGAAACAGTTCTCAGTGCCATAAGCACGTGTATACAAATACACATACATTCACACACATTGCACAGGGCAGTTTATTGTTCAGCTAACCAAAAAGCCAGCCTGGCTAGATGTGGGGCTCAAAGGACAACATCAGTCTCCCTTTCTGGCTCTGCATCCCTCCATGTCAGCTTCATCTGCAGGACCCATGGCATAGTACTGGCAGGCAGCTCTGGGCTCACACCCCTCAAAGCCAAGTTGCCATATCTAGTTGTCCATAGAGATTCTAGACCTGTACATCTTCACTTCATCAGCCACATCCCTCAACCCATCACTGTGGCTGGGGGATGGGTCTTGTTCATCAGTTTGGGCCTGGGTCTCATGCCCACCTCTGGAGCTAGGGCTAGAGTCAACCCAACCCAATGACAGAGGCTGAGAGTGGGGGAGGTGTGACTTCCAAAGAAAATCTGGGGTTCTGTTACCAGAAAAGAGGGGAATAGATGCTGGTCAGGAAAATAAATGTCTGCTAAATTGTTTTGTAAACTAGAACAGGTTCAAGGTTGCCCTAGAATAATAACATTCTTCCCAGTTTGTTGCTTTGCCTCCCACGGATTTGTCACTCCTTTTCCCCTGGGTGATGGAGCCGCCAAAGATCACTCAAAGCCCATCTCTTCTGAGCAGTGAGAAGCCCCGGAAAGGGGTTAATCTCCCATAACCCTCAAGATAGTGGCATTCCTTCCATTTGGGAAATTAACCACAAATTGGGGTTCTCTTCCTGCATTTATTCTCCAGACCAGGAAGTTACAGGAAGAGAACATAGGTGGGGTGTTTTCTAAGTACAGTTTAACAAGTTTAACAATAGACATTCCATAATGCAATTTTCAAGAAGTTAAGTTGATCCACCACCAAAAGCTTGATCTTAGCAAACATTCTCTTCTTACAGCAATTTCCCAGTATCTTTACATATCAATCAGTAACCTGTCTGTCTTTGAGCCAGCAACCGTGCTGTGTTACAATTCTTTATCTTACAACAGAGACTATATAGCCTGGGGAAAATTTCCTGTCCTTTGCAAGGTCAATATTTGAAACTGCAAGGCTTTGGAAAACCAGGCCCTGTGAAGTACATTTGCTTTATGCATACTCTACACCAGATATAATTTGCTGCACTTTGAGTGGGTGGAGTTCATTGACATGCTCTGAGAGATGCTTGCAATGAGGGCCTTCCTTACCCAGACTGAAGCCTTGTGTTTGAGACAGAAGAAAAGGTTGAGAATTGCTGATTTAGAGATTGCTGAGGACAACAGCTCAGGCTGTGGAAGGAAATACTAAAAGGAAGTCTAGCATTTTAGAGCCGCAGAAGATCTTACAGAACTGTGCTCTGGCACAGAACAGGAGCCACTGGCCACATGTGGTTTTTGAGCACTTGAAATGTAGCTGGGTCCGAAATGGGATGTGCTGTTGGTGTGAGATACATTCCAGATTCTGAAAAATTATGATGAAAGAACATGTATAATAGCTCATTAATATTTTATATTGGTTGCATGTTTAAGTAATAATATTTTAGAAACATTGGGCTATTTTATAAAAATTAATTTCATTTGTTCTTGGGAGGCACCAGGATTCACTTACTGTGTTTACCCAGATGAAGGATCAACAAATCCCAAACTCAGGGGCAATCTGAATTCACTGAGTTTACAGGATGAGAAATACTAATCTTGTGCCTATTTGTTTAAGATAGGCTGATTTAGACAGGGATTTTTGCATGGAAGAGCAGCACATTCTGTTCCTGTCCTATGGAACCAAATTATGGTTTATGTGATAAAGTAATGTGTTAATTTGAGAATTCACAGCTACATTAATACCTGAAATCAATGGGGGTTTTTTTTTTTTTTTTTTTTTGGTGGCTGGCCAGTATGGATCCAAACCCTCGACCTTGGTGTTATAGTGCCTCGCTCTAACCAACTGAGCTAACTGGGCATTTTATCACTGTAAGCTGACATATATCAAAGCCCAATAATCAGAAGTTTGCTTGTTTTGTAAGACAAGTTTGCCTGAAACATCTGTCTTTACAATAGAGATGTTCTTGCCAGTAGGACTGAAATGCCCAAAGTGCTTTAGGTGTGATACCATGCATTCATTTTTTTCTCCACAATATCAGTTTGAGCTCAGCCAGCTTTTGCCTCTGACTCCCGTTTCTGTTCTGTAATTTACCATTATCTATTCTGCCTGACAGATTCTTTAGGTAGGTTGATAAGCAAGATATGTTGAAGGTCACATGACTAGAAGTAATTCTATTCTCATAAAGGTGACTTCACCCACTCACTGTGTTTCACTAATCTCAGAAGTAAATTCTGAGAGCTAATTTCCTTTATTTCCAAATTTGGGGAGGAAACCACACTCAAAACCCTGAATATTGGGCCGGCCCCATGGGTCACTCGGGAGAATGCGGCACTGGGAGTGCCGAGGCCACAGGTTCGGATCCTATATAAGGGTGGCCGGTGCGCTCACTGGTGGAGCGTGGTGCAGACCACACTGTGCCGAGGGTTGTGATCTCTTTACTGGTCAAAAACAAAAAACAAAAACCCCTGAATATTGACACTTCTGTTTAGTAGTTTATTTAATTTGATTTGTGTACTGTTTAAGTAATAATCAAAACATTCTTATAAGTAATGAGTACATTCATTCTTATTTTTAAGGTGTGTTTGTTTTTCAGGCAGCTTCACTTGGTTAGAAAAACTTCACGTGTACTCATTTGCTGTAACAGTGATTGGGTTTCATTTTCTCAATGTACTCAAAACCTCTAGGACAGTTGAGTTGGATGTTTGCTGATAGAAAATCCAAAACAGGACTATGTATATATGCCATGAGTTAGTCATTGAATTTACCTTCTCAGTATCTATACAAGGAATTACTAAAAAAATGTATTTATTGACAACATAAAAAAAAAAATTCACTTGTTTCTTTTTACTTTTTAATGTGGTTATTAGGAAACTTGTTAGTTTATTTTTATTAGACATCACTGTTATAATCCAGTGCAAAATGATTTTTATGTGCACACTATACATGAAATAACATTTAGCCATATGATGAGAAAGACATTCCCATTTCCATTCTTATTCAGCTCCTTTAAATGAAGAAGGAAATCCTGGTTTGGGGTATTTTTAATATCTTTTTATTGCTTGCTGGTTTCCATTTCTCACAAAGAACAAGACCCAGATTCAGCATCTTGGGAAGACAGTAATATTAACTACAACTTTCAGTAACATTGTTTCAATTTCGTTATATTTATTTAAACAGTGACCTCTGACTAGTGGCAAATGACATTTTTTTATGGTCATGATGGAAAACTTCATTGCAAAATGAATGTCAGTAAAAGTGAGTTGATCTTAAAGGTGGAAACAACCCAAATGTCCATCGATGGATGAATGCATAAACAAATTGTGGTATGTCCATACAGTAGAATATTATTCAGTCTTCATAAAAAGGAACGAAGTGCTGATACATCCTACAATATGGATAAACTTTGAAAACATTAAACTAGGTGAAAGAAGCCAGACACAAATGCCACATATTATATGATTCCGTTCATATGAAATGTCCAGAATAGGCAAATGCATAGAGAAAGAAAGTAAGATTGGTGGTTCCCAAGGGCTGGGGACCACCCTGGGGAGGGGAGAATAGGCAGTAACTGCTTAACGGGTACTCAGTTTCCTTTGGGGATGATGAAAATGTTTGGGAACTAGATAGAAGTTGTGGTTGTACAACATTGCTACTATACTAAATGCCACGGAATTGTTAGCTTTAAAAAGGTTAATTTTACGTTTTGTGAATTTCACCTTAATTTTTTAAAAAGTTAAGGTGGTCTTAAAGAAAAATCGAGGTATAGGAAATGACAAAGTGACAGAAGTTTGAAAATCACTGTTATTAATCTATCCCTCTTGATGAGGGAATGGGGACTTTGAAGCCCTGAGACAAGTGCCAGTCAAGGCCTTTACTTGGCAGCAGGGGTGACAGGCTCAGCTCCCCTCATCATGTGGCCCTGCCATTGGCCTTGCTCCTGTCTCAGAGTTGGGAAGACTACTGATGTTGTTTATAACTTCAAAGATTCCACCTGGATCAGGGGAGGCCTCCTCCGCAGAAGGGTCAGCCTACAGTGCCAGATTCTCCAGTAGAAATCCACCAAAAAAATGGGGTCCCCTTGGTGACAGATTCAACTCATATTGTGAGCCAGGAGCTGACGTGGCACTTCTGAGAAGAGGTGGGTGTGCCAGCATGAAGGAGCTTTTTGTGTACTTGTGGCAGATCAGGATCCAGCCTGTGGGTGAATTTACCTTTGGTTTAACTTGTAAAACCAGATCTGTCATTCCCGAGAGTGCCTGAGCAAGGCAAGCACTGAGAGCCAGCAGCTGGCGGCAGAGTGATTTCCAGCGAGGCCCAGAGACAGTGCCCTCTGCCCTGTTAGTAATCCTCAGGTTTTTCAATTCCCATTGCCTTGGGCCTGCCCTTCCATGAGAAGAAGAACCCAGAAGGCTCAGTTTAGTTCCTTTTCCTGATCAATCTAGTATTTATGCAGAAGAGAGTAGAAAATGCTAGTGATGTTTCACTTGCTTTTTGACCAAATGACATTGTAAGACAAGTGTATATAGGATGTTTTAAATATTACATATTTGTACTTTTACTAACAATACATTATATATTTTTTTCAGACCTGCTTTATTGAAGGCTGCAGAAAACTTCACTCTTTTGGTTAAGAACAACATCTGGTATCCCAAATTTAATTTCAGCAAGTAAGTAGTGGCCAGGTGTGTGAGTTCACCAGTGTCTTGGAGAAACTTCTGGCTGTTCTGTGAGGTTTTTCTTGCTCTAATTTTCTGCTTCCTCCTGACTTTAGGAGGAATATCCTTCCAAACATCACCTCTGCCTATCTCAAATCGTGCATTTATGACGCTAAAACAGATCCCTTCTGCCCCATATTCCGTCTTGGCAAAATAGTGGAGAACGCAGGCCATAGCTTCCAGGACATGGCCATCGAGGTAGGTGCAGTCCCTGGCTTTTCTAACACCATCCTGGACACCTCTCACACAGAGCAGTCTCTGACAAAGCTTCTTAACCCACAGGGAGGTATCATGGGCATCCAGGTGAACTGGGACTGCAACCTGGACAGGGCTGCCTCCCTCTGCCTGCCCAAGTATTCTTTCCGCCGCCTTGACACTCGGGACCTGGACCATAATGTGTCTCCTGGCTACAATTTCAGGTGGGCGTGAGCTTGGGCCCCAATCCAGGTGGCTCGATTACTCCGCAGTGGGAGTGTTCATGCTCACCAAAAACCAGCACTGAGGCAGCACCCCAAGAGCAGGCTGCCCATCCCCCGCCCGAGGTAGGAAGGCCACTCCAGGGAGAGTCCTCCGAGCAGGGTCTGCTTCTGTGGCATCCCGGCCCGAGAGAGTCCACCCTGCCCTTTCCTACCGCAGGAAACATGTCACAATTTGCTGAGCAGCTGAGAGAGGCGGCAAGTTCTGCTTTCCAAGGCTGTCCTTAGCCAAGACCTCTGCTCACTGTTCTGAGGAGTGGATGATCTTGTGATCCTCCAGTCCAAAGGCCTCTGGGGCCTGGCCCAGGAATTGGTTTCTCAAAGGTTGAGCCTACCCTGGAATCTCCAGAGTGCAGGGGATGTCGGTTTTAGGCTCAAGAAAGACCTTCACAGTATTTCCCTGATGAAAATGCTGGCATATCAATTTCTTGGGGCTGCTGTAACAAATGACTGCAAACTGGGCGACTTGAACAACAGGAATTTATTCTCTCACAGTTCTGGAGGCCAGAAGTCTAAAAATAAAGGTGTCTGTAGGGTCATGCTCCCTCTGAAGGCTCTAGGGGAGGATCCTTCCTTGCATCTTCCAGCTCCTGATAGCTCCTGGCATTCCTTGCCTTATAGACGCTTCACTCCAACCTCCACCTCTGTTGTCACATGGCCTTTGTCCCCTGTCTGTTGCTATGTGCCTTCTCCTCTTCTTATAAGGACACCAGTCATATTAGACTTAGGGCCCGTGCTAATCTAGTCTGACCCCATCTTAACTAGTTACATCTGCAAAGACCCTATTTCCAAATAAGGTCACATCCAGTTTCCAGATGGATGTGAATTTTGCGGGGTAGACACTATTCAACCCAGTACAGCTGGTAATCTGAGAGAGGGCCAGGGGCAAGGGTCATATTTCCCACTTCCTTGAGGCAGCAAAATCTGTAGCTACACACACCTTCCCATGCCCTGTGTTGCTTTTCACACAAGTAGCCTCCCTGAAAAATAGGCCGCCCGAGTCAGTCAGCGGCTCTTTCTTTTGCCCTTGCCTCCCTCTAGTGGCGACTTGGGGAATCGAATGTGCATGGGATCCTAAGGAATTTCTGTAACTGCAGGGTCTGCTTACTGATAGGAGGGCAGATGTGTGAATTTTTTCCTAGTGATTAGATTTGGGTTGTTCCACTTCTCATCTCACACAGTTCTTGTAGAGACCACTGTGGAAACCTCATGCTTGGGTCGGAAGCCAGGCGCCGCCCAAGTTTCACAGAACTGGACCATGACACGGAAATTGTGGACCAGATGGGTCACGGGCTTGGGGTTTAGGCACTGGCTCCTGGCGGATCCTACAGGACACAGGGCAGCACACGGTATCATGTCTCCTGGGTTCTCTCCCCACCATCCCCTGCTGTTTATTTTTTTAATGGATTTATTGAGATACAATTCAAATGCCATACTATTCACCCACTTAAAATGTATAATTCAGTTGTTTTTGGTATATTCAAAGATATGTGCAATCATAACCACAGTTGATTTTAGAACATTTTCATCACCTCAAAAAGAAACCTTGTAGGGCCGAGCCCATGGCGCACTCGGGAGAGTGTGGGCTGGGAGCGCAGTAGCGCTCCCGCCGCGGGTTCGGATCCTATATAGGGGTGACCAGTGCGCTCACAGCGCTCACTGGCTGAGCACGGTGCGGCCGGGCTCAAAAAGGACAAAATAAAAAATTTTAAAAATTAAAAAAAAAAAAAGAAACCTTGTAGCCTTTAGCTATCTCCCCTCTAGTAATAGTCCCCTAGCCCCTGACAAACACCAATCTGCTTTGTCTCTGGATTTACCTATTCTGGACTTTCCTATGGATGGAATCATCCAATATGTGGTTTTTGGTGTCTTTTTTCACTTAACATCATGTTTTCCAGGTTCATCCACATTGTAGCATCTATCAATACTTCATCTCTTTTTATGGCCAAATAATATTCCATTGTGTGGATAGAACACATTTGGTTTATCTATTCATCTGTTGACAGATCAATGATTCTTTAAAAAAAAAAAAAAAAGGTCCGGGGCTGACACTTTGTCTCGTGGCTGGCTCAGCCCCCACCTGCAATGCAGTCTTGGAGACTGCGCTGGCTGGCCTCATTCTCACTGTCCCCTTGAGAGAGGCAGGTGGCTCAGCTATATCAGGAAGGATGTTCAGAGCAAGAGATTCGGGCTTGCAGGAATCTTGCAGGAGGGGATGGTGGTGACAGGAGGTCTTTTTGTCCCCCTCCACCCCTGGGGGCCTTTTTTTGCAGCCCACATTAGCCATTAGCCAGGACAGGCCCTGAGGTGCTCCAGTGCATCCGCTCAGCAGGCAGCATGTATTGGTAGCCTGTACCAACTCAGCAGGGGACTAATATCCCTCACGCAGGACCCAAGATCCAGCCACTTGCTCTGGCCTGTGCTGTTTGCCTCTAATATGTCCTGCTGTTCCCAGGTTTGCCAAGTACTACAATGACCTCACTGGCAACGAGCAGCGCACACTCATCAAGGCATATGGCATCCGCTTTGACATCATCGTGTTTGGAAAGGTAGCCTTGTGCTGTGGCTGTAGGGATTAGGGCCTCTCCCTGCCCTTTCTCTGCTCTCCCCTACCCCCATCAAGCTTTCTTCTTCTTCTCCTGTCATTCACAGGCTGGGAAGTTTGACATCATCCCTACCATGATCAACATTGGCTCTGGCTTGGCGCTCTTGGGGGTGGTGAGTGGTTTAGACCTTTCCCTTTGCCCCCAGGGCCGGGCCTTCCTCTGCAATCATCAGCACAGTGAGGTGATGCCTTGGTTGGCACCCAGGTCCTTTCTCTGGACCCTGGATTTGTTCTTGACTGCACCCTCTGGGCTTCTTTCCCTTGACCCCCATCTGCCTTCTACCCTCCCTTCTCCAGGACCATATCCCTCAGGACCTAGCCTCCTCTCGACAGGTGGAGGTGCCTTTTCTTTCCAGTGAGATTCCAGGCTTGGTGGGAAGGGGCCCATTGGAATAACAGGCTAAAAGCATCCTGGCTTATTCTTTCTTTCCCTCTGCTAAATTCAGGCCACAGTGCTGTGTGACATCATAGTCCTCTACTGCATGAAGAAAAAATACTACTATCGTGAGAAGAAATATAAATATGTGGAAGATTATGAGCAGGTAGGCTGTCCTCCCAGCAGGCAGAAGGTCCAAGCACCTCATCTGTCTCTCGTCTCAGCAGACAGAACCCCTGGCCCGTCTGGGGAGGCGCTTCTAGAGGCTGCCACTGTCAGCGCATCATCAACCCAGGCAGCCACGGGCCACTCTCAGCATCTGCCCCACCTCTACACTGCCTGTACCAGCAGTTACTTACTCTCCTTCAAACAGACTCCCTCTTTAAAACCTGGCCTTGCTTTAGTGACATCTCAAGTTATAGGTATTATGACAAAAGCTCTGTCCCCACCCAACGTAAATTCGCCTTGCATAACAGGAAGGGTTGGGTACCATGCTTGAAACCCCTGCACTAGACCAACTGGAGTCTTGTCTGTTGTGAAGGACTGTCCAAAAGTCCGCGGGGAAAGCGCCTGGCTCCTGCCCGCCCCAATGGTCTGGGCTTGCTTGGGGCCCAGCATGCTGGGTATACATCTACTTATCACTCTTTGCAGGGTCTTGGTGGTGAGATGGACCAGTGATGCCTACCCCACACCTGAGGAGGAGGAGGAATGGCTGTAATATCACCCCAGAGAAAGTTCCAGAGTCCAATCTAGTCTCCACCCCACAAGTACTCAGGGTTGCCAGCAGCTCCTGTGTTTTGTCTGTAGGGCTTGTTTGCCTACTCGGCACAGTAGGTTACTGGTCTATTCTTGGATGGGTCACCTCTGCTGTTGCTGGGACCCCCAATGTGGGGTTGCTGGGGTGAGTGTTGGGCAGTGATGTCGCTGTGGTCTACAGAGCTGGGGCCATCTACACGGCCTCTGGGGCTGGCTTTTCTCAGAACCTCCTGTCTCTAGCCCTTTTCAGTACAGGGCCAGTCCTCTGAGGCAGAGTAACTCTGATCAAGAACTTTATAAAGAAGGGAAGGCCACCTGGTTGGCGGTCACTAGACTTTTAGCACGCCTAGGCTGCTATTCCTCTTCCTCCCAGATAGGGACTTTGTCCTTGCCGTCACCAGGCAGAGTTAGCATTTCTCCTTTGAGAAGAGCTATGTTGAGATGATTGAGAACCAAACATTAAAACAATGTTTCTTAATTCTTGTCTGTGTCATCTCATAACACATGCTAGAACTTTTCATCCTACCCTTTTACCTTAACCAGTAAATCCATTTGTTGTCCAGCCCACTGTGCTCAGAAAAGTTCCCTGAAATAGTGTTTCTGGAGTTTAATTTTTTTCCTACATTAGCCTTCTCTTAAAAGCCTAAGAATTTTGAGGGGCTGGCCGGTTAGCTCACTTGGTTAGAGCGTGTGCTAATAACACCAAGGTCAAAGTCAAAGGTTCAGATCCCTGTACCAGCCAGCTGCCAAAAAAAAAAAGTAATGGGGTAACAAGTGACTGTTATAACTGCAGAAATTAATCTGTAAAATCAGGTAAAACACAGAAACAAAAGCCTAGGAATTTTGACCTTCGTTAGGTTGTGTTCCTATAAAGTTTACATGACGTTATTTCTCTAGTGACATCTTACCTGTGCTTACATTTTTACATAAAATCACAGTGCTATGCTATAGGTAACACAATTTTAGGTAACATGGAAGTGGCTTATCCTCACCCCTCCCCATCTGCTTCCCAAAAATCTCCAACCAAAAGCAGCAGCACCTCCGCCTCTTGCCACAAGGTTTGAAATGTTAATGAAGCTATTTCTGGCTGTGACTTCACACCGACTTAATTCTGCATCAGGTGTTCAGGATCCCCCTAAAGGAAGCAGTTTGCCCTCCCTTTTGTGTGAATTCATTTCCAAGTGCTGAGAATAACAGTTATTTTAGACGTGCTCTGCTTCTGCTGGATAAATGACCAACCTGGGCGTTTCTTGCTTTTAGAAGAAAAAAAGTTTACCAGATCTCTTTGACAAAGCCCTGGTTCATGTTGCCTTTGTAAAAAATGCTCGCAAAAAACACATGGATCAAATGGAGCTGGAATTTTTAGGAAAGGTGATATGATCTGAATGTGTCCCCCAAAATTCATGTTAGAAACATAATCCCCAATGCAACAGTGTTGGGAGGTGGGGCATTTGGGAGGTGATTAAGTCATGCAGGCTTAGCCCTCATGAATAGGATTAGGTGCCTTTATGAAGAGGTTGACAGGAGTTTGTCTCCTTTTTGCCCTTCCACCTTCTGCACGTGAGGCCACAGCATTCCTCCCCTCTGGAGGACGCAGCAGCAAGGCGCCATCTTGGAAGCAGAGAGCAGCCCTCACCAGACACCAGACCTACTGGTCCACCTTGGTCTTGGACTCCCCAGCCTCCAGAACTGTGAGAAATAAATTCCTGTTCTTTACAAATTACCTAGCTTCAGGCTTTCTGTTATAGCAGCACAAAATGAACTGAGACAAATGGTTTATTATCTTGCAGGCTAAGGACTGAAAGTAGCTGGCTGTCTTCTGGGGTAAGGGAGCCTTTGTTTGGCCTCCTCTTTTCTAAAATGGAATGTGGAGGCCAGTTGGGGTGAGGGATGAGTGTTGGGGGGACACTGCTTCTTTTACTCACCAGTCATCTTGCGTTTGGCCACGCTGTCACTCACGGCACTCTTTGGCACTGTCTCTTAAGTAGGGGTCCTTCCACCTTGCATCCATGGATGTGCCTCTGGATTCTCTGAAACCCCTAAAGCTCTGCACAGTGATGCACCCACATGCATCTCTTTTTGTTTCATCAGAGACTCAGTGGGATCTTTAAACAGGAACCCCCTGCTCCTGACTCTTAAAGGCCAACATTCCAACGTACTTCTGCAGCAGTGGAATGGGAATCTTTCAGACTTCGTCTGCTGTCCCTTGATAACAGAAAAATGTAGTTCAAAGCGAGGAAAGCAATGTCATGGGCTAGATTCACACTTGAAATGCAGGGAGCCCTCAGCCTTTGGCCTGGAGAAGCATCAGTTCTAAAACAGTCTCCAGAAGCCATGAAAACCGGCAACCACTGAGACTGAGTTTGGGGGCTTTGTTAACAATTCAAGCCCTTGGACAGCTGACTTAAATTTTCTGAGCCTCAGTTCACAGATGATGATCCATAAAATGGGGTTAATACCTACTTTGTGGGTGAAGCACAGTACACCTGCCCCATAAGACATGTTCAATGTGATTAAAACTGCTCCTGGGTCTACAAACCTGTCTGGCCTCCACCTAGCCTTGCAATTACCTGCCTGCTAGTAGAGCAGTGTTTCTCAAACTTCAGTGTGCAGAGGAGTCACCTGGGGAGCATGTTTAAACCGAGCCTGGACATCTGCATTTCTAACCCACTCCCAGGTGACACTGACAACTGCCGGCTTGGGAACCACACCCTGAGTAGTGAGGTACTAGGACATGTTCTACATTTGGGATTTGCTGAATGCATTAGCTGTGACTTGGGCATTTGACCTTAAGGTCAGCCTAAGAAAGGAAAACAGACATCAGGACAGACGGCCTAAATAAACAGCCACCAACAAAATGATCCCAAAGAGGCCCAGGCTTTGCACCATTTTGCTGTCTATTTCAAGTTTACAGAGAAGCCTAAACATCTGTGAAAACACTAAAGGCTTATTTTTCTCTTAAGTTCATGTACTTTTTAGTGATAAATACACAGTATTCAACTTTGTACACCTGATAAAAGGAAAATGCATAGTAGAAAGGATCAGGAATTAAAACAGAAGCATCGGGCATGAAATAAATCACAGAATACAAAAAGTCAGCAGTCCAATGGAACTCAGCCTGTAAAGCTGGAGAGAAGATGGGAACAAACAACCTTGAATCATTCCCTAGCACCTTGGAAGCAAGTGGAGGTCATGCTGATTCCACTCAGCAACGTGAAGCTCCCCTTTGAAAGATGGGAGAGCGCAACAGGCCAGGCCTGTGTATCTAACTGTGCGGGAATTCTCCTTGTTCCAGAAAGGCTGGGAGGACGGGAGCCCTACCTCACAGGAGAGGCCAGACCAATGGGGAGACGGCCTCTACAGCCCCAAGTGCCAACGAGGGGCTCGATAAGGCTTTCTGGGAGCCACTGCAACCTGTGGGATGGATGGGGGAGGTGGAAAAGGACAGAGAAAGGTGGATAGAGGATTTGTGCTTCCTTCAAGGCCGTAAGTGCAGGCCACAGATTACTTACACCAAATTGGTCCTGCAGATAAGCCAGCAACGGAAGACATTATGGGCATCCTTTTTGCCCACTGGGAAAAGCTGCTCATAACAGCATCTCCCCTTTCCTGACAGGGCCGGCTTTTAAAAAAAATCAATGTTTGTGCTCCGAGAGAGTGGTAGTTCTAATGCTTGCTTTATGTTTACAGCTGTCTCTGCTTATACTTTCCATGGGGGGGTGGGTCCTTTCCACAACTGTCTTTGGTGTTTCTTTGTGTAAAAAACAAACAAAAACTTATCAACATGACAGTAAGGATGACCATCTGTGTCACAGTTGAGTATTTCCCAACCGTCCCTCCAGAAACTGGGTATTTAATTGACTGCAACAATCAGCTAGTATTTAATATACAAACAAAACCTTACCAGTCTCTAGAATACACAGGTTATAAACAAGCTAAGCCACTAACATACAGGCATAGGTTTCACTGGCTCTAACTCCAATCACATGCCTGAAGCCTTGAAATATATCCTGGAAGCTCTAAATAATTTCTGAACTAGAGTTCAGTCTATTAGAGAATTGAAATTTTTTTTTTGTTTCATCTTAAGCCATGTAACGTACATGGAAGTGTAGGATTTTACCCTGAAGTTTTTTGTAGTTGAACAAGGAGATTCACTAGAGCTCAGTTAACTGTCTCAGAAACCAGCTTTGAGCAGCTGTCATGAACTCATTCAGTCCTTCAGGCGAAACTTTTCCCACCACAGCTGCCCAATGCCCTTCTAAGGTTGGCAAATCCCCTTCAAGGAGCAATTAAACTTCAAGCCCTTTCTGTCTTCCTGACTACAATTCTACTCATAAAAAATTAAGAAGTACTTCTTACAAATAAATTGTACCAAAGCTCCCTGCAGTTACTGAGGGCTAGCCCTACTCTGACTCCTGGAGTTCATGGTTCTGGAAGGTTCCATGATTTGGGGTTTGCATGAGGAGTCACACCTAACCTTCCACTCCCTCTCCAATGCAGTAACTAACTCTGTGGCCTCATACCACTGGAGTTTTCAGCTCACTTTTCCACAATGTTCAAACCCCACACACATTCACTCGGTATATCTGACATGGTTCTGGATTTACAATGAAGGATTTTTGGCATAAAAATGTTTTAAAAAGCAACTGTCCCAAAGCGCACGTGGGTTTGGGTCTGCAACTCCTCACACCTGCCCGTTCAGCCAGCTAGTGGCCAAGGTCGACGTCATGGAGTCAAGTCTTTTTTTTTTTTGTCCCCTTTAAAACAACAAAGGAAAAGACAAATAACCATATATGACGATCAGGGCTCTACACACGTGCTCGGTTTCCGTAGGACATGCTGCTATGGAAACACAGGATGCAGCAGCCCGGCGTCAAGGCCGTGCATGCGAGGTCGAGCAATCCAGGCAGCTACTCGGGCTCCATTGCCTCCTCAGGCCGTAGTGGATGCATGTGTGCGGGGGTGCCGGGGGCCGGGGCCCCCCAACTTTCCACACGGGGACCACCTTTCACAAGAGCACTTCCTCCTCCCCCGCGAGGGGCAGGTCGGTGCCCTGGAGGCTGTCTTCGCTGCCTTGCTTCCTGCTCAGCGAACAGAAAACCAGCATTAAGATTCAGAGAAGCATGGCAGGGCCCTGCCCCAGCCTCCCACATCTGGGCCCCATGTGCCCAGTGGTGCCATCTTGCACCACCTGGAACGTGACCAATTTCACCTGTTCTTTTAGATTCTCACCCTTTTTTCTTGCTCACAGAAATTTTTCAAGGGACACTTTGCCTCCCTTCTGTAAATAGAAGACCAGCATCATTTGCCAAAAATAGCAAGGCACTATAAAACAGATGCAAAACTGTCCACGTAACACTTAAAATCATTGCACAGATCTCAAGTATGGGGGCCTCACTGTGGGACCTGTTCTCTGAGGCTTTTTAGGTATCTTGATTTTCCCTCTCCTTTAGGCTATGAACTCTTGCAGGGCAGGAACTGTGACACTTGACTTCAGAGGGTGGTGAGCTTGGGAACAGTGAGCAGGGCCCCCCAGTATGGCCTGGCACACAACTGGCCCTCAGGAAATGACTGTCGACAACTGCCCCAGCCCCCCACACCCAGGCCCATGAGAAGACCATCTCCTCCTGGTAAAGTCTCCCCAGGAGGAGAGAGCCAGATGTCAAGTCAGCCCTCAACTCCTGCACTCCGAGCTGCCTGTTCATACGGCCTGGGTCTCCCTGCAGACAGCAAGTGGGCCTTTAGTCCAAGCCCCCCGTGACTGAATAAACTCCGTGAGTTCCTATAACCAAAGCCTCCCACCCCCGGGGTGAGGGCAGGGGATCCCCAGGCCTCGCTGGGACTACAGGTGAGGGAATGAAGGAGCAGTATGAAGGACTACAGGTGAAGGTCCCTTTGGACCAATCTCAGTCTGTTGGTGTCTTGCAATTTTCACCTCAATGACAATAAAAAAGAAACAACAGACTTGCTACAAACAGGAGGCAGCTCCAGTTTGGCTGACCCTAAAACAGAAGTTGAGAAAAGAAAAGCCAAGTAAAGGCCAGCCGTTAAGCTTCCACTCCCTGTCATCCTGCGAGTACAAACCCAAGGCGGGCCACCAGGTCATGTGCCTACAGAGATGCTTCGGAACAAGGCAGGGGGACTGGGGCAGCCTTCAGAAGCCACTGAAGACAGCTTCTGATTGCTAATTGCTATTTTCCCTGCTCTACTCTGGAAGGCAAGGTTTCTCTCAAAAGCATAAATAATTCCCAAACAAGTGTTCCCCTTAGAGATTACCATATAAGTGCCTGGGTCCTATGGTACGGGCGGCCAACTCCTAACAAATGGAAATGGCTTTCACTTGTACACAATGTTCACAGCAGCATTATTCATTTGTGATAGCCAAAAAGTGGAAACAATCATCAAAGGATGATGGATGAACCAAGTGTGGTCTGTCCACACAATGGAATATCATTCAGCCATAAAAAGGAATGAATCTGACACATGCTGCGACACGGAAGAACCTCACAAACATGATGCTATTTGAAAAAAGCCAGACACAAAAGGCCACATATTGTATGATTCCATTTATATAAAATGTGCAGAATATGCAAATCTGTAGAAAACTGAAAGTAGATTAGTGGTTGCTAGGGAATGGGGGAGTCAGGTGTGGGTAGCTAAGGGGTGCAGGGTTTCTTCTTGGGCTAATGAAAATGTTCTAAAATTGATTGTGATGATGGCTGCATAACTGTGAATATATTAAAAAACTATTGAATTGTACCACTATAAATGGGTGAACTGTATGGTACGTGAGTTATATCTCAGGCTATTTTTTAAAAATAGCAATGGCTGCCTAGAGCTCCCAGTTGAGAGTCAGGTGGTCTAGTCAGGCTCAGTGGGAAGGATACTGGGGTCACTCCCCTGCTGAGGCACTTGGGGGATGATGGCAGCAGGGATGCCAAGCAGGCCCTCCCAGTCTTAGAGACAAAATTCTCATCTGTCCTGGGAGGTGCTAGCAATGCTGGCCTCGGTATGTGTTTGGAAGGATGGTTGACCAGAAAGAAAAAGGTCCGGATCCTACTGACCCATTTTGCAACAGGCTGAAAGGGGACTTATTTTCGAAAGGTCTTAACACATCTAGGAAGAAGGGGTGGATGCTGGAGGGCCCCTAGTGAGGAGCTACAGGGCAGAGCAGCTTAATCTATGCTCTGACCACACAGACTTAGAGCCAGGGCAGCCCCAGGGCAGCTTCCACACCACTGACGTGCACTGAGTGTCTGTGGGGGCCAGCCTGGGTCTAAAGATCTGGGTGAATTCACAGGCATTCCAGGTGGAGCGCCATGCACCCAAAGCCCCCGCCCACATGCACGGCCCACCAGCGGGTCCAAGCCCCTTGATGCCCCTCGTTTTAATCCCGGGTCTAGGGATCCTGTGGCAAGACTGGGCACAGCATCCCGGGCTGCAAGGCACATCCGCCTGGGTGGAGAAGACCCCGTGCTCTGCAGCTGCCCCCGCCCCCAGGCCCCGGCAGAGGCTATGGCACAGGCAGACAGGCGTTACCTTGGGCTCAGACAGGGGCTCACACTCCCTGGTTGGTTTTTTGCTGGAATTGCCAGAGGGAGGGAAAAGGGAAGTGAGAAGGGACCCTTGGTATCCATGGGATGCCCGTCCCGCACCCAAGACACTCAGACCCAAAATACCAGCTTCACAGAGCCGGTGCCAGGGTGGTCTTGGTGAGTGGGTGAGTTGACATGTAGGGTCCCAGAGTGAAACTACATTGTTTGCCCATCATGGGGCCTAAAATCGCACCAAGCACTGATGCTTCTGGGCCACAGAAGTGTATTCTGATTGTCAAGAACCTCCCAGTTAAAGTGCATAAAACTTCAGTGTAGACTGGCTGTCAGCAGAAGAAGGTGGGCTGAGCCCAGGATAGGGGGAAACCAAAGCCAGCGGTGGTTGATTCCCCAGCATGTGGGGGGGCTTGTTGGAGTCTTTCCAGATGGAGCCACTGCAGGGATGGGCCCATGCAGAATGGTCTGGACAGGGCTGCCCCAAGCTCGGCTTCCAGCCCTCCCACCCTGGGAGGAAGGTAGGTGGACACTCACATGAGCAGGTGTCCGGGCGCTGACAATGAGCGCTCCTCCCGCCGGCTGCCCTCAAATGGGTTTCCAAAGGAGCGTTTCCGTATCATGGTCTTCACCAGGATCTGAAGAGGAGAGAAGAGGAGGCAGCAAGTGACTGCTCGGCCATGTAGAGGAGATTCCAGGCAACGTCCTCCCTCTTCCTTCCCCTGAGGCTGGTGGCTGATGGCAGGCCCTTGAGGGAAACTGTTTGGGTGGCATCCTTCCCACCCAGGACACACCAGCCAAAGCCATCTGAAGTCTGCCTGGTCCGTTCCCTTTCTCCAAAACCTCCCACAGCTCCCCAGCTGCCAACAAGAGAAAGTCCAAACTCCTTGGTCTGACATTGAAGGCCTTTGTAATCTAGTCCCAGCCTATCCAACCTCCACAGGCCCCTGTGCTCCAGGAAAGCTGGCCTGCACCGTCCCTTGGGCACACCTGGTACCATCAGTCTCACCTGAGCCATCACTGGATGTGCCCTCCTGGCCCATCAACTTGTCTCATCCAGGCCTTTATTTTGAGTAGAAGCCTTCTACAACCACCACAAAGAGAAACAAACTATTGCTTTCCTGGTACAATTCTGGGGGTGGGGGGCTGCTTTTTAAAAATTGAGATATAACTCACATACCATAAATTCACCATTTTAAAGTATACAATTCAATAGCTTTTAGTACATTCACATCACCATGATCTAATTTCAGAACATTTACATCACCCCAAAAAGAAACCCAATACCTGTTAGCAGTCACTCCCCGGTCCTCCCCCCCAGCCCCTGGCAAACCACTACTCTTTTTGTCTGTATAGATCTACCTCTTCTGGTCATTTTCTGTAAGTGGAATCATACAATAAGTGGCCATTTGTGTCAAGCTTTCACTTAGCAGGATGTTTTCGAGGTTCATCCACACTATAGAATGCATTAGCACTTTATGGCCCAATAATACACGGGTACTTCAAAAGTTCATGGAAAGATTTGTATTATCTTTTAATTCTATTTTTCCATGAACTTTCTGAAATACCACGTACTTCTTTGTATAGATAGACCACAATTTATTTATCCATTCATCCGTTGGCGGACTTTTGGGTTGTTTCCACTTTCTGGCTATTGTGAATATTGCTGCTATGAACCTTCATGTACAATTTGTTTTTTCTTTTTGGCAACTGGCCAGTACTCATGTACAAATTCTTATGTGGACATGTTTTTCTACACAAAATATTTCACTTCTGTTGTGTATGTACTAGGAGTGGAATTCCTGGATCATATGATAATTCTATTTTGAGGAACCACCAGACTGTTTTCTACAGTGGCTGAACCATTCTACATTCCCACCAGCAACGGACAAGGGCTGCTTCATCTCAGGGGGCTGCATTTCAGTTGAGGCTCGGAAACATCTGTCAAGGAACTGGGGAAACATCCTAGGACACCAAAGATGGCCAGATCACAGGCTGGTGTGGTGTGAGGGCGAAAGAGCTCGGAGATTCTAGAAGGTCCTTCTGTGTCTTGAGATGCCAGGGGCTGGCCTTGCCCACTGCTGAGAGTGGGCACTCTTTGGTGTCCCCCTGCCTTGCCCTAACACAGGATGGGCCCACAGCGTGGCCGGGCAGACACCTGCCTGAGAAGGAGGATCCTCTGAGAAGACGTGCTGTTCCTCCATCACACCCCCCAGCCTCTGCTCAGTTTCTCTCCTCTGCCTCCCTGTCCTCACCTTACCTCTTCCCCTAATCTGTCCCCCATCCTTTCTGAAACCCTCACTCCCTGACTTAGAATCCCTCACCCAGATGAGTTTGGAAATCAACCTGTTGCTGGCCAGAGAGCCCAGGAAGTTCTGAAGGAAGGGAGTAAGCCAGTCACCCTTGGTGATGTTTCTGGCTGCTGTAGCCCATGAAAGAATTTTCAAAGGAAATGGCCTCAAGACCCCGTAAAGGGTCACTGAGAAGCCAGACTCTGGCCTTCACCCCACCTTCAACCACAGTGTGGTGCCTTTTCAGGCTGTTTTGTGTATTGCCAGGGTTTCCGATATTTTTTTTTTTTTAAGGATTTGCTGTTAAGAAGAAAAATAAGCGTTTAAAAAAACACTGATTTACCAAAAGTTGTCAACACCCAAAAGGCCATCAACTGAAGAACAGATAAAAAAAATGTGATCTACCCACACAGCGGAATATTATTCAGTCCAAAAAGTGATGAATTAGGCTGGCCTGTTAGTTCATTTGGTTAGAGTGCAATCTTATAACACCAAGGTCACAGGTTTGGATCCCTGTACTGGCCAGTTGCCAAAAAGAAAAGAAAAGGTAAAGAATTGCTGACACATGCTACAAAATGGATGAATCTTGAAAACATCATGCTAAGTGAAAGAAATTAGATACAAAAGGCCACACACTGATTTAATTTACGAATGGAAATAGCGAGAACAGGCAAATCCACAGATAGCAGAAAAATATGCTTTGAAATATCTAGAAATTTCTAGAAATTTTCTAGAATTGAAAAAATATATATAAATTTCTAGATATGAAATATCCAGAATAGATAAACATATAAAGACAGAAAGTAGATTAGTGGTTGCTGAGGCTGAGGGGACAAGAAATGGGGAGACTACTCATGGGTGGGGGGTTTCTTTTGATGTGATAAAAATGTTTCAGAACTATGGAGGTGATAATTGCACAACACTGTGAATGTACTAAATGCCACTCAACTGTTTACTTTAAAATGGTTCATTTTGTTATGCAAATTTCACCTCAATTAAAAAAAAGAAAATCTGCCGACTTCAAGAATGAAGGCCACATCTCCTGGTGAGGCTGTCACAGCCAATCCTAGGTCTCCAGCACAGCAGGTGCTCAGTGGTTCCTCTGTCCTCTGACCCTTGGCAGGTGTCACTACCTCTGGTACGACTGCCCTGTCCCCTGCACTGCAGCCTTGTCAAATCAGTGGGAGAAGCCCTGTCTCTGCAAAGAGTTCCACCTCTGGCTCCTCTCAGGCTGGCCTCTGATCGCACAAGAGAGTGATTCTCTTTCTGGGTGCACCTTTCTTATGAGGCTGGCAGCCCCCAAGGGCTGGCCTGGACCTCGCTCCCCTTTGTAACCCTGTGACCATCCTACACTGGGTGCTCAGTGAGTATCTGCTGAATGACAACCACATGGAGGGTGCCTGGACCTCGTAATTCTCTCCCAAGTCAGTCTGCTTCCCAGCCCCTGCCCACCCCTCCCTGCTCCAGTGGTACTTCAATTCAAACCCTGCAGGAGCCTCCATGCTCTTAGGATCAAGATTTAAATCTCGGCACACCTTCCCTCCACCCTCCCTGCTTCACTGGCCCTGGCTTTTTGGAAGCTTCTCGTGGGCCCAGTTCTCTGCCACCAGAGGACAATGCACATGCCATTCCTCTTGCCAGCATGTTCCCCACTCCACCCTCTCTGCCATTCCCTCGGGGTCCATCCACTTCTTCCAGGAAGCCTTCCCGACCCACCACCTGGGGCCAAGCGTCCCTCCACTAGGGGCGCAGCTTGTGACCTCACTTGCACTGTGCATGTATTTGCTGGTGGTTTGCCAGCTTCTGCCTCTCCAGAATTGCAGGGTCATGTCGATCTGCTCATCGCACACCCACTCCCAGCACAGGCCTGAGAAACCACTCCATGTTCAAGGGACAGTTCCTGAATATCAAATGCCTACTCAGACCTCCAGGGTCTGAAGCTTTCTCCCAAGAACCTGCAGCTGAGAGCTGGGGAGCGAAGGGGGGGGGACTGATTCAGGACTAGGACATCCAGAGCCTAGAACAGAATGACCCACGGTGGGTGTAGAGTCCGACACCGGCTGCCTCTCCTGCTACAGGCGCAGGATGGGGGTGCAGTGGCAGATGAGGAAGGGTGAGCGGCTGTGGGTGTGTCTAACAGAGAAGGTCATGCAGGGGCCCCAGATGGGGGTAGGGGGGAGGAGGATGTGGATGAATGTCCCGGGCCTGAGGGCTCAGGTTCTGGAAGGAGGAGAAAGGAAGTGTGTGGGCAAGCAGGAGGGAGAGGCGCAAAGCTGGAAGAGAAAGAGCCAGCATTTGGGCTCCTCAAGGGGGCGACCCTTGAGGCTGGACACTGTGTCTTTGCGGGTAGTCTCACGGGTCTCTCCTAATGCCCAGGAGCCTGCCTGCCTACTGGCCAAACACAACCAGGGCTTTCCAGGTGGCCACGGTGGGGCAGCCCCCAGGACTGCTGCCTGGACTCCTGAGCCCTGGGCTCCCTCCTGGAGCCAGATGTCTTCGTAGGCAGTGGCTTGGCAACTGGGTGATTCCCAGAGTCTCTGAGGTTAAGCCTGAGGAATCCACATTCTGGTTCCTTCTTCCTGGGTCAGGACTCAAATTCAAGGCCATACAAAAGGATTGGTAGCTCCTAAGCAAAATCGCACCCTCAAGACATGGGCAGAACTTTCTGAGGCATGTAAAGTGGGGGCTCCCATCCCTAGCCCTAGTAGCTGCCCACATGGGCAGACGGAGACACGTTAGGCCATCCGTTCTTGTGACTGAAGGTCCAGCCAGTGGGAATCCCATCTTAGAGATCTCAGCTCCAGCTCCCATCCCTGACTCCTGCCTGGTCCTCTTCCTGGTTCTTCTCTGACATGCTCTGAAAGCAGGAATTCCACAAGGGGCAGTATGATCCTCAGATAGGGGCTCCCCCCCTCTCTGGTAACATGGGACCTGGCTCAGAAGATGCAGGGGCCACTTGGCCTGATGTATGACCAAGGCCCAACAGCCACAGCTGTGGACTAAAGGTGGTGCTGGCCATCTCCTTACTCTCAGGACCACATCTGCTTCCCAAGTGCCCCCAGGTCCTGGCCCTGTCTTTGCCGGCCCCACCTCAGGCTCTCTCAGTTCCTGCTCTCGGTCAGTGGCTCATCCCGCCTTACCACAGTCGCCAGGCTGGGAATGTGTTTGACCGAATTCTCGACTTCCTCTTCGGTCACCTCGACCAGCGTGCAGTTCTCGTCCTCCGATGGCAATGGCTCCGCCCCGTGCCTCGTGACCCAGGGGTGCAGCTTCAACGAATGACAGGAGGGGTGAGGGATGGGCACGGATGGCTCCCAGAAGGCCCTGCCAGTGAGCAGAGCCGAGGAGGGCATGCAGGAGGGAGAGGCAAGGCCTGTGTTCAGGAATGCAGGAGGTGGCAGCCAGGCAGAGGGCAGCATTGGCAAGATGGGAGGACGTGAGGAGAGACAGAGACAGAGAATAGGAGGAGCCACGAGGCTGAGATGTGCACGGCCCGCTTCCCCACCTGGCCCCAGGTCTTGGCAGAAGTGACTGGAATTTGGCATCTGCCTCGCCTGGCTGCCTAAAGAGCTCCCACCACTCCCCGGCAACTCTCCCCGAAGCCTGGAAGGCTCAGCTCAGAGCAGGGAGCATCCTCCCCAGTTCACAGGAAAAACAGAGGCTCAAGGACACACAGTGAGACCGGCTAGAAGGATACACTCAGGAGAGGGCCCAGACGGGTGTGCCTCCCACTACCTACCCCTGGGGTCCAAGCCCTATCCGTGACTTTCAGGACTGCCTTATATTAAAACACCTTCAAATGCTGGTTAGCCAGGTGGCTGGAGGTCCCCACGCAACCCTGTAGATTTCTTAAAGGGCCAGATGTATGCATGTAGCATTAGTTGGTGGGGGGAGGTGTCCAGGAGTCTCTCTTACTAGTGCTTTCCGCAACAGGGTGGAATTCAGCAGGCAGGGGAGGTTAAACTGCTCGCTCCCACCCTCACTGCAATTTCTCAGACAGTCAGGGTGGAGCACACAGGAGCCCCTGACCAGTCTGCAGGGATGGGTGCCATCGGCCCAAGCCAACAGGAGTAAGCGCAGGCTGCCCGGCTGGTCGATCACAGATCCCACTCCCACTGTCACAGTGAGCACAACACCCAGATCCTCCTCCCACCCCTCGCCAGCCCCCAGCAGCCAGAGGCCCCAGGCATGGGAGGGCATCAGTGCCAAAGAGGGCATGACGCTGCAGACAGAGGGGTGTGGGGCCTGGCCGAGGCAGCTTGAGCCAGACAGTTCCAAGCACTGACACAGGCCGAGCCAAGGGTGCCAGCCCCGTGGGGCCAGCAGTGGCCCCCAGATACCTTGATTTCGGGCACCATGATCCTCGACTCGGGGTTCTTGTCCAACATACGGGTGATCAGGTCCTTCAAGTCCTCGGCTATGTCAGGCCTGGAGGTGAGAGACACATCAGGAATAGGAGACAAACACACAGGTCGGCCGAGGACTCGGAGAGGGAGATGATGCAGGATGGACAGGCGATACTCACTGGTCTGGGAATTCCAGGGCCTGACTCTTGATCTTACTGTGCAAACACATGATCCTCTCATCCATGAAAGGGCACTGCAAAGAGAGGCCAGGACAAGAGGTGGTCAATGGCTGTCCTTCAAGGACCCCTGCTCTTCAAGGATATCTGTCCTTCAGGGACCACCTGTGCTGGCCACTCCATGTGAATTGTGGTGGTGAAATCAACAGCCATGGCCCAGCTTAGGAAGAGAGCAGTTTCCTTCCCCCCAAGTTCTAGAAGCACCAGGAATGCCCTAGGAGGGCTAGAACCCTTCCCACCACTGTAGCTGTGCTTCAGCTTGCCTACCTATACAAAAGCAAGCGCTCCTCTCTGCCCACCTGCCAGGTGGACAATCACACCACCAACTGAGAGGGCTCAGCCTGCACCAGGCCCTGTACTGAGGTTTTGACCAACATTTCATTCACTGTTCCTTCTGCCTGGAATGTTCTTCCCACCAATAGCTGCATGGCTTGTTCTCTCCTATTGTTCAGGGATCTGACCAAAGCTCACCCTCTCAGGAAGGCCCTCCCTGAGCCCCCATCTAAAACAGACCCCCCCACACCCCCCACGCTGGCCACGTTATTTCCCATCATAGCACTTATCCCTGGTGTTACAGCAGTATTTATTTTTTATTGTGTAACTCCTCCGCTAGAACGGCAGCTCTAAGAGGGCAGGGACTTTTGTCTGCCTCCCTCACTGCTGACTCCTGGTTCCTTGGAACATTCCTGGTACAAAGTAGGGGCTCAGTAAATACCTGCTGACTTAATGAATACTTGAATTATTTCCATCGATCCACTCAGAAGCCATAAGAAATGTTATTCTCATTTTACAGACAAGAAAAACAAAAGTTCAGAAAAGCATCCCAGGAAAAACAAAGGAAGACTGGGTTGAACTGACTCTGAAGCCCAGTCTTTGCACCACCTCCTGGGAGACAAATTGATGCTCTCACCCAGCTGGGGTCCTGGCCTAGGAGGAGCTTGGTTATGTGTGCTGGAAAAAGGAACCTTACATGGGGCACTATGACGGTTGGAAAAAGTGGCAGAAAGCTACCTGGTCCACTCCTGTCCCAGGAAAACTATTTCATTAAGAGCAGTGACTTGAGATAGGAGTTGGGTAGCACTGCTAAATCCATTTGACAGAACTCATTATGAATAGAACACTTAAGATCTGTACATTTCACTACATGTAAATTGCCCTCAAAAAAAAAAAAAAAAAAAAAAAGGACCAGGAACATTGAGCTCTAGCAAATGATTGCACTCAGAAGCATTTGGAAGGAAGTGTAGAGACATCGGCAACTTACACTGAAATGCATTAAAAAATAAGATGCATTGAGGAGTGAACAGACAGACATGTGATAAAGTAAGCACAGTAAAATGTCAATGGCAGAACCCAGGTGGTGGGTATGTGGGTGTCTTACTGTACAATTCTTTCAACTTTGCTGCATGACTGACTTCTCTAGCTAAATGCTGGAGGGGGATAGTTATAAACTACTTCACTTCTTCATGGAACCAGGGTCTTAAGCTTTCCTTAATAAGAACACAAGCTCATGAAAGGAGAGGACCCATGCTTTAATTGCTCACGCAATCAAACTGCACTTCAGAGTCAAAAAGGGAGCCTCTATCCACACAACAACAAAAGATCAACAACACCAAGACAAAACAGCACTCCCTAAATCAATAATGCCAAATGGGTTTTAATTTTCATTCCAATTCTACCCCTCTGACAATAGCTTCCGGAAACACTCTGGTGAAAGAGCATTAAAGCAGCATCCAGCTCAGGAGGAGAGAGTGCAGTTAATGATGACTGATGTCTGTCTGGAGCTCAAGAGTGGGGAGAAGTGGCCACGTGCTGTCCTCACCCTAAATTCATCAACTATTTACAAACTCTAGTGCCTCTGCCAATCCTCCTGTTTTAACAGGTCGTTTTTCTACAGATATGATTTTCATATAAGATACGTACATTTAAGAAGGCATCCTTTTTCATATTCAGATCTAGCTATGGATATAAAATGATATAACTGGAAGGGTGACTATTAAGCCAGAAGGCCACCCAACAGCGCTCAGGAGACAGGACGCCCCACCCTGTTACCTGGCCAAAGACAAAGCAGTACAGCGTCACACCCATGGCCCAAACATCCAAGGCCTGCAAGAAAAAGAGAGCTCTGCATGAGGGGACAAGGGACAATGAAGGACACCTACTGCTTTTGCCTGTCCAGCATCCAATGCTCCAGCTTTCCTTTGGAGAACCACCTCTTCTTGACTCTCAGTCCACGGAGTTGGGGGGCAGGGGGGGCAGTGATCTTGTCCCCTGTCCTCAGGGGTGGGCACATTACCCAGGCCTGGACAATGAGAGTACTGCTTCCCACAGCCACAGTGATTGGTTCAAGGATGGGCACGTGACCCACACTAGGCCAATCAGAGCTGATCCCAGGGGTTCTGCTGGAGCTAATCAGAAAGAGAAATGCTCTTTCTTCTTAGGTTTGTAAACTGATAGAAATTAGCCTGGAACTGCTGACCCACCTGCAGAGGAAACCAATTCAGGAAAACAGAGCTGAAAGATGGAGGGAGATGGATTCCTGTGTGAGTCCCTGGACGAGTATCTAACCAAGCCCAAAGCCAAATGGACCCTACTCCTCAGCTCTATGAGCCAATGGATTACCATTTAAGCCAGTTTGGCTTGGATTTTTACTGTTTACAACCAAAGGAAACCTAATGCAGGCAGAACTCAGCAGCTCAGACAAGGCCAGACCCACCTTCCCAGAGAAGATCTTGCGGGTCTCCGAGAGCGACTCGGGAGCCATGAAGGCAGGCGTGCCCACGGTGTTAGAGAGGAGGGCATCGCTGCCCTTGAACTCATTGCTCACGCCAAAGTCGGCAATCTTGATGTGCCCATCTTCTCCAACCAGGAGGTTGGAAGGCTTGATGTCCCGGTGGATGATCTTCTGATAGTGTACTGGGGGTGGGGTAGACACCAGACAGAAGGGCGGGGCAGGAAAACCCCATGAGGACCTCCATGTGGCCACATGGCCCTGACACACCACGTGGCACCCCTCTGGCACTTCGTCTCCCATGGCCCTAAGCCTTTCCCAACCTTCCCCTCCCCAAACCTGCTGGGCACCCACATGCTCTGAAAGATAAGGGGGAAAGAGTGTCTTCAAGGAAATTACCCCCTTTCTCAAAAATGAAGAGTGAAACACCAACTCTTCATAACCATCTACTATAGTCCAAGTCATAGGTGGCGGCACACAGAAAGTTTTTGTTGAGCTTGGCTCCCGGCTAGGAGCTTTGAGACTCATGACAATCAAACGCAGTTTCATTTACCAATGGTCAACACTCAACTCGTTCACCAAACCAGCAATGACTGGAGCAGGATGATCTGAAGTGTGAACCACAAAGCAGAATTGGGGACTTGGCTAACTGTTCCTGCCTGGATGCCAGCCAATGGCAGAGGACAATCCTATGGTCTGGAAGACCCAATTGCCACTCCTGGGGTAAGGAGGAGGAGGAGGAGGAGGAAGACGATGATATCAGTAATAGGAGCCCAGTCAGGGGCCTAGCCCTGTGCTAAGTGTTGCACATTTATCCCAGTTCAGCCTCACAACCATTCTATGTGATAGGCAGGGATACAAATCAAAATGTTTCACAACCAAAAGCAGAAAGGACACCTGCCTATCATAACCACTAATGTGTACTGGCTTGTCTCAGCCCTGGGGACAGATTCTTTACCCCCATTCTACAGATGAGGAAACTAAGTTTCCAGGAGATTAACAGGATGCCCATCGCAGGGCTGCTGGGAAGGATAAGAGACAATGCAAGCAGGGCCCCCAGCAGTGCTGCTACACACAGAAAGTGCTGGATAAATGGTCACTATTGCTATTGCTCTTCCTTCCTCTGTGTGGCAAGAAGGGTTTCTGTTCTCCAGGGACACGGCCCCAGGATGGCTGCTCTGTATGGCTGCCTCCAATTCTGTATCTCACACAGTTTTTCCCCCGCTCACCTCCTTGCACTCCAGGAGGGAAATAAGACACTTTCCTCTTTCCACCCACCAGCTCGGAATGCTAACCAGCCCCTGTTGAGTCCTCCCGCAGGCCCCGCTTACAGTACTCGATGCCCTTGATCAGGTCCTGGAAGTAGAAACGGGCCTGGTCTTCGGAGAGCGGTTTGAGGGTGGGCACCTCCATCACGGGCCTGCAAGGTCGACACGTGCATGAAACGCAGAGCGGACCACGGTCCTTGCCCTATCTCTCGCCGGCAGAGCCCAGCACCATGCTGCTCAGCTCTGCAGCTCGAGAAGCTTCCAGCATCGCACCTGCCAGGAGCTGAGACACTCACCCTTGTTTGACCAGTTCAAACACTGTAGGGAAAGAAAGGGGTACACTGTTAATGTCCGGAAACTGGAAATCCATCTCCCTCATCATCCTCCCCAGCTCCCAACCACCTCTAGAAACAGCAAGAGGCAGAGAAACTAATATTGGGGGGCTGGGGGAGGAGCGGTCCACCAAACCACAGCTGCTCAAGGCCCTGCTTCGCTAAGTTCCCATCAGGAAGCAAAGAACAGAGACTTGTGGCCTCCCCGGGACCCCACCCTGGCTTTACTCCCAGTGCTCAAAATGGCCTGGGAGCCAATGGTCACAGAAAACAAGGCAGGAGAGAAAGGAGGCAGGTGGAGACAGCTTGTGGACTCCTTCTCAATCCCTCCACTCGAATCTTGGAGGTTCCAGGGATATGACTGATGTTAAACTATGTCCTCTAATCAGACCTAGGTCCTCAGGCACCTCATGCCAAATAGGTCTAAGAGGAAAACCCAAACGGCAATTTACTAAGGCCCAAAGTAGTAGCCAATGGGGTCTTCAGAACCCTAGGAAAGTTTTTATCCAAGAGACTGTAAGAACAGGTTTCAATGACCTCTTCTGTGTTCACACTGTAAGGCTATGCCAGGCTACAGACCAAGGGTTGTTGGATAATATGGTCCCAATGCTCCAACCCTTTGTGATCAGCTGACCCTCTGACTCTTCACTGTAACTCTCAACCTAAATCAAGATTTGGAGTGGAAGGTGAGAGTGGGGACTTCCTGAGCACCTCAAACGTCAACTCATCCTGTTCCCCCAAACTCTGGGAAGCACCATCACACACAAATGCTTCACAGTAGGTCTGTTCCTTCCCAGCCCTACATTTATGGGAAACCACCCCTCCAACCACCAAGTATTACATAAGCTGTATTCAGACAATGCAGTTTTGGGTTTTTTTATTTGTAAAAATTGATGTGAAATTTCATAACAAGATTAACCATTTTAAAGTGTACAGTCTGGGGGCATTTAATACACTCACAGTGTTGTGCAACCATCACCTCTGTCTAGTTCCAAAACATTTTTGTCACCCCAAAAGGAAACCCTGTACCCATGAGCAGTCACTTCCCATTCTTCCCTCCCCAACTCCAGGTAATCACTAATTTACTTTCTGTCTCTATGGATTTGCCTACTCTGGATATTTCACATAAATAGAATCATACAATATGCGATCTTTCGTGTCTGGCTTCTTTCACTTAGCATGATGTTTTCAAGGTTCATTCATGTTGTAGCATGTGTCAGTACTCCATTCCTTTTAATGGCTAAATAATATTCCATTGCATGGACATACTGCATTTTGTCTATCCATTTACCTGTTGATGGACGTTTGGGCTGTTTCCACTTTTGGCTATAGTGAATAGTGCTGCTGTGAACACTTTTATACAAGCATTCATGTACAGCTCTTTGCATGGATATCTGTTTTCAGTTCTTTGGGTTATATACCTAGAAGTGGGATTGCTAGATCATGCAGTCTTGTTATTTCATTGTCTTCTGCTGGGACAAACATAACTGAGAATGCGAAGCTGTACTTTGGGAAGTGAAAAAATAGCACAGTAAATTTCAAAATCTATGGAGAATGACTTTGGAATTGTCTGTTGTTCTGGAATCATCTACCCACAATGGGGTGAGCATGTGATAGAAATCAAAGGGTTGTTTCAAAGCTCTTCAAGGGCTGAGGTGGCCAAGGGGAGGGAGCCAACTCCTCAGACAAAAGGAAGGCTTAAAATTTCTGATCGGAAAAAGAACTTAACTTCTCCCTGTCTTAAGGTTCATCAACCAGCATTGGAAAAACCTGAATTAGGGCAGATCTGCCCTTACTTCAGGCTGTGGTTAGTAAAGCAAAGACAAGGCTCAAAAGGTACAGCTTCCATAGACAACCAAGCCCTGGTCCCCCGAGCTCCAGCCCTTCCTGCCTTAGTTATTTAAGTCTTAACTCACAAGCTTTATGAATTTTTGCACCTTCCTCCCACCCACCTAAGCACCATAAATCAGTCAGCACGGGGGAAGCTGGTATGGTGAAAAAGGCCTATTTTCAGTCGCTAACAGTTCAACCACTGTTGCAGCTGAGCAGTGGTGGGAAGTTTTTTAACCTCTAGAAATACAGATCGAGTCTTCTACCCTTCCTGATGTCTACTATCTGGCCTCATGCACTACCCTGTCTGTCCTCTGCACACATGGCTGTGGCTGGAAAGCAAAAAAATAACTGTGTCAGCATTTGCAAAATCACTGGAATCGCATACCCAAGGTGAGCGTGCCTCCTTTCCACAACTGCCACCTCTAGGAGTGAAACACTGTCCATGAAGCTGCCTGGCTCAAACAGCTTGGGAAACTCCTGAGGGGCCTCCTCCAGGACCATTCAAGGTTGGGTCTGGGGTCCCAAGTAACAGAATTATGCTGGGGATGCCATTCTGGGACAAAACAACTTACATTTTGTGATTTCTGCTATACTTCCCCAAATGTCACTCATTTGCCTACCACGTTTATAATTTGGCCATATCTATATACCACATAAACTATTTATTTAATGTTTTTCTTTAAATCAGCTCAGTTTTTAATTTCTTAGCCTTGTGCCAGGTAATAATATCCATGGAATCATGAGTTTAGGGTGTCAGTTATAGTTTTCCCTATACAATGTCAAATTAAAGCTAAAAAAAAAAAATTTAATGTTTTCCATGTACCACCTAGAATGGTGCTCAGCATATAGTAGGTGCTCAAGAAATATTTGCAAATGAGTAAATAGGAGATCCAGACAAAGAAAATCCCAGCAAAAACTCCCTTCTAAAAGAAAAGTTAAAATAAATTAAAAAACTAAAAAAAAACAAAACTTCCTTCCACCTCCTGCTTTGAGCCAGGGTGGGCCCTTCTCTGGGGTTCACTGTGGGGCCCAGCTGGACCCAGAAAGGGGAAGCTGTCTTTGGTGGCCGGTGCCAGGAGCAGCAGACCCCTGGACGGTGGCAGGCATAGCCACCTGAGCAAAGGTGGCAGAAGGAAAGGGCTCTCTTACCCATGTACAGATGGTCCTCATTGGGGTCATCCAGGACCTGTTGGCACAGCCACATGGAACAGGCCGGAGACAGGAGCAGGGGAGAGGAAGAGAGAACAGACATGAGCAGGGAGGAAGAGCAGCCACATGGCTGTGTTTGCCACCAGCAGGGCTGCACTTGGCATTGTTTTTCCTACTTAAGATGGAGGGCACAGGAAAAATCCCAGAGTGGAAGATCCAAATGGACATTTGGAAAACAAGCACCTCCCAGACCAGTCGTCAAGGGTCAGAAACACTCGGAAAGGTTACAAAAGAGAGGGGGCAAAATCCTCCCTTGGGAAGTGTCTTGCACTTGAGTAAGAATCCATCTCCTAGGAGACAACGGACTGGTCTTCACAGTGAAAATTCAAATCCTATCTGGGCTCAAGTGACCCCTTCAAGAAGCGGCCCCATTTCCACCTGCCCCATCAGGAAATGATGTCTCCCTGCCTGCAACAGCCACAGCCCTTTCCCTGTCTCTCGCCAAAGAGCAGGCACCAGGCTGTATCCACCTTGGTTGCCTCTGTGATGTCCTGTACAGGGCAAGGCACACAGTAGGTGCTTAGGAAATGTCTGATGAATGAACAAACAGACAGGCCAGCAAAGAATCTTCTTGAATGGAGAGACCAGATGCCACAGGGCAGCGGAGAGAAGAGCAATCCTGCCAGAACCCAGGCACCCTTGGGTTTCTTCTAAGAGGGCCAATCCCAGCATCAGCAAGTCGCAATCATGAAACTCAGTGTCACAGATGGAGACAGCCTGTATCTGTCATCTCTCTTCTCTAGGAAGAAACAAAAGCAGGCTCCTTGGCTAGACTGGTCCTCCCCCTCTTCCCGCATCACATGTGCCTTCCTGAGCCATTCCAGATCCATAAAACAAACAGGCCCAGAGACAGGGATGCACCTCAGGCAGAGCCAGGGCAAGCAGCCTGGAGCCCTGAGCCCTGCTCTGCAGGAAGTCAGACAAGGACCTTGCCCACTTACAGTTCTGCACTCATGGGCCCCAGACAAGGTGTGACAGCCAGCCCTCACATCTACCAAACGCAGGGTTGAATGCCCCAAATACAGGCCTCCAGCCCTCTGCACAGACTGTTCCTTCCCCTGCAATGCCCTTCCCTATCTTCTCCATCCCGGAACAACCAGCACCTCCGACATCACTTCCTCTGAGAAGCCTCGCCCAGACACTTTGGGCAGAGCTGGCTGCTTCCACCCCAGAATCCCACAGCTCTCTGAGCATCCAATAAAGCAATTTATCACATGCTGTTTACAGGTCCTTGTCATCTAGACCAGAGAAGCTCTCAATGTGATCTGGGGACTTCTGGGGGTCCCCAATATGCTTTCAAGGAGTCTTCAAGGTTAACCTATTTTCACCTTAAAACTAAGATAATATTTGCCTTTTTCACTCTTATTCTCTACTAATACACAGGAGTTTTCCAAAGCCCCATGACACATGATGTCACAATAGGTTGGATGCAGAAGCAGATATAAGAATCCAAATGTCTTCTATTAAGCCAAACATTAACAAAAAAAAGTCTGTAACAATATAAAACTATGCCTCTCTTCTCGCTATTTTTTGTTTCCAAAGATAGTTATTTTTCATAAAGACATATTACTTATGTTAATATATAATAAACTTATTGTCTTTAGATGAATAAACAGTTTTTAAATTTCTCAGTTTTAAAATCTAATGTGATAAATATTATTAATTATAGTTATGCACTACTTAACAAAGTTTTGGTCAACAAAAACTCACATATAAGATGGTGGTACCATAAGATCATAATGGCCATACCACATAGCTTATGTGTGTAGTAGGCTACACCATCTAGACTTGTGTAAGTGTACTCTATGATGTTTCCGTAATGATTAAATCACCTAATGATGCATTTCTAAGAACATATCCCCATCATTAAGCAACACATGACTGTATAATTCACATAAGTAAACATGCTTTGGAGTCTGCTCTGATTAGAATGTCCCCTCAAACTCATGTTGGAACTTAACCTCCAATATGGTGGTAGAAGGTGGGGCCTTTAGGAAGTGACTGGATTGTAAAGACGGTGTCTGGTGATTGATCCATTCATGTAGTAATGGATTGATGGTTTAATTGGTTGTCATTGGCATGGTTCTGATGGCTTTATAAGGACAGCAAGTGAGAAGGTTAGCTTGCTCGCTTGGGCCATTCCTGCCATGTGATACCCTGCACTGCCACAGGGCCCTGTAGAGAGTTCCCACCCAGAAGAAGGCCCTCACCAGATGCACCCTGTGGACCGTGGACTTCCTGACCTCTGAAGCTGTAAGAGATAAATTTTATTTCTTTATAAATTACCCAGTTTCAGGTATTCTGTTACAAGCAATAGAAATGGACTAATATAGGGTCTTCAATAATTTTCAAGATCATAAAGAGGTTCTGAGACCAAAAAGTGTAAGACATGCTGATCTAGAGCAGGGGTTGGCAAACTAGAGCCTGTGGGCTAAATCCAGCCCTGTGCATGTTTTATAAATAAAGTTTTACTGAAACACAGCCTTGCCATTTGTTCACATAATGTATATGGCTTCTTTTGAGCTACACCTACCCATATGTGTAGTAGAAAGAGAACCAGCTTTAAAGAAACAGACAAATGGGTGAAGGGCAAGCCTCAGTATTCCTCTGAACCTCAGTTTCTTCATCTGTTAAAATGGGAGTAATAAATAGCCTTAGGGACGGGTGAAGTTAACAAGAAATAACAGGGGTGAAGGAACCTGGAGCAAGAAACACTACTCAGCCCTGCAGTAAAGTAAGCTGTCTGATGTGACTTGGCTCTCTCTGGAAGCTAGCAATGTGGCATTTGGGCATTAAAAAAGCCGGGGCTGGACCCTTCTCTGTGTCCCTCCCTCCTCCATGTCCCCCCACCTCACCTCCACCAGCTTCACTACGTTGGGGTGGTCCAGCTTTTTGAGGATAGCGATTTCCTGGTATACTTGCTCAATGGGGCCCCTGGGCTGAATGCAGCTCCCTGGGGCTAGCCGGGTGCCTCGGGGTGGAGGGCGACCTGGAGGAGACACAAATGAACCCAGTCAGGCAAAAAGACTTTCCTCTGCAGAGGGCAGGTGCAGGTGGCATGACCAATGGGGAAGGGTCTTAGCAGGGTGGAGTGGCTGGTGCCATGAGGGGCTTTAACTAGCCTTCTCCTCATCTGCTGGAAATCAGTGAGGCTGGAGCCCTGGCCCACCTGCTCAGCCTGTCATTCCCCTCCTTCCTGTCACATGCCCCAATCCACAGTGAGAGGCAGGAGTTCACCGAAGTAACCAGGGTCTGGGTCAGTATCTCAATTCCCAGGGTGAGACAATCACTTCTCCTCTCTGGAACTCAGCCTTTCCACTCCATAAAATAGACATGAACATTATCCCTGATCTCCTTAACTCATGGAAATAGCACAGATGTAAAATGAGGCCAGAGAGAGGAAAAGAAGTAAGAGTCAATGAGAGAAAAACAAAAGACCATGCCAGAAAGGAGAGGCCCTCAGTTCACTGCTTGGCCCTGCAGTGAATGACAATCAATAAGTCACAAAGATGTAAAAGCCCATAGTCAAAACACTTATTATGTCACATACTCTATGTAAGTAAGGGTCTAAGTGTGATTAACAGAATGAATGTATATGTGATCAGCCTCGAAAAAGGAAAGGCAAAGGTACAGGTGTCAGAAGTGGGATGAGACGGAGGAAAGCCAAGCTCAAAGGAAAGAGGAGAGAGCTAACAGCCTCATCTTACAAAGTGAGGAAGTGGGAGACACAAGCGACATCAGCTGTAACAAGGAGGAAGTGACATGTATATGACAGAGGAGCTAAACATCGTGGCATCATTTTATTGTCTGGTTGGGGAAAGGGAGGTGTATGGTCCAAATGTCTATGTCCCTCCCAAAATTCATATGTGGAAACCTAATTCCCAATGTGACGGTATTAGGAGGTAGGACCTCTAGGAGGTGATTATGTCAAGAGGGTGGGGTTAGTACCATTATAATAGAGATCCCAGAGAGCTGTCTAGCCTCTCTGACATGTGAGGACACTGTGAGAAGGCGCCATCTATGAGCCAGCCTCCAGAACTGTGAGAAATAAATGTCTGTTGGTTATGCCACCCAGTCTATGGTATCTTGTTAAAGCAGCCCAAGTTGACTATGACAGAAGGAAAGGAATGGCTTAAGCAGACAAAATTCCCATCAGTCACTGGAGGAAGTCCAAAGCAGATATCAAAAACTGATAAATTGTTAAAAAGCAACACAAGGATAGTATCTGGTTCAGAGTTTGAATAAGCAGGATAAACCAGGGTCCTAGCATTAGAATGGGGTTTATGTTTCTCCTTATCTAATTTATCTTTTTGGCACAAGCTGACATGTTGCCCAGCACTGTTGGCGGAGCTTAGGCTGGAGCAGCCTCTGCTAAGCTCACCTCGGGTCTCTCATCTGACCACACACAGTAATTACTAGCAACTAAAAGAGCTAAGTGGCAGGAAGAAGGAAGAGTAGAGTAAGAAACTCATTCTCCATTATAAACCATTCTTTGACTTTTCTTTTGGTAGACATAATTCAAATACTTTAGGGTATTTATATTCTTTTAATTCACCACTTAAAATGCATACTTTAGTGGGTTTTAGTACATTCACAACCATCACTACTATCTAATTCCAAAACATTTTCATTGGCCCCTTGACCCAGAAGCCCCATACCTACCAGCAGTCATCCCTCATTCCCTCTCCCCAAGCCCGTGGCAACCACTGATCTACTTTCTGTCTCTGTGGATTTGTCAGTTCTGGACATTTCATATCAATGGAGTCATACAATAGGAGGCCTTTTGTGTCTGGCTTCTTTCACTGAGCACAATGTTTTCAAGATTCTCTGTGGATTTGTCAGTTCTGGACATTTCATATCAATGGAGTCATACAATAGGAGGCCTTTCGTGTCTGGCTTCTTTCACTGAGCACAATGTTTTCAAGATACATCCATGTTGTAGCATTAGTCAGAACTTCATTCCTTTTTAATGGCTGAGTAATATTCCATTGGATGCATACACATTTTGTTTACTCATTCATCTGCTGATGGACATTTGGGTTGTTTCTAATTTTTGGTTACTGTGAATAATGCTACTATAAAAATTCAAGTACAAGCTTTTGTGAAAACATTTCAATTCTCTTGGGTGTATATCTTGGAGTGGAATTGTTGGGTCATGTGGTATCTCTATGTTTAACATTTTCAGGAACTGCCAGACTGTTTTCCTATACTGGATTTTTAACCTTGATACCTGTACTTTAATAAATATTTTTAAATGAAAATGAACAAAGAACCTCTTCAGGAGGCTCAGCACTGTCTTCAGGAAGAAGCCCTGAGTGGGATGGGGTGTCCACCAAGGGCGGGGACACCACTTGGTGGTGTCTTGCCCAGGATGCTGCACCTAGGAACAAAGGCCCTGGCCCGCCAAACTCACGTGGAAAGCCAGCCTGTCGGATCAGCTTCTTTTTGGACAGCACCTTCATTGCCTGCAGGAGAAAAGACCCCATGTCCTGGTTAAAGAAGGAAGGAGGGAGGAGGGGAGAGGGAGGAGGGGAAAGGGAGGACTCCCTCCACTCCAAGGCCTGTCCAAACTCCTGGCCCTCTGGCAGCCTTGGGACAATGTAGTGAGCACCCCATCACCAGAGAGGATCGAGGTGCTACTGGGTGTGTGAGGCTGGACTCTCGGAGTCCCTCCAACACTGAGGGTGCTCCGTAGGTTCTTGACAAACTCTCCCAGCTGGGAAATCATGAGCCTTGGTACTCACTGCCACTGAATCAAAACACAAGTGAGCTGGAGTGACAGGCAAAGGAGGGGTACATCTGGCTGCTTTGGACATGGGGACACATCACTTGCCCAAGGTCACACAGTTGGCACATGGGAGAACCACGATTTGAACCTACAATGGACTGATGTCAAAGCCTCATCTCCAAGGGCAACTTGTTGAGCTACTTACTGCCTTATTCTCAGTACTATGGAAGATACAGAAATGGCAGCTCAGAGTAAGGGAATAAGAGGCATCTGCTGAATGAATAACTCTTCCTGGGCCAATCACTCTACCTCCCCACTTCCCCATCTGTAAAATGGGTATACCACTTCCTTCCTAATACACAAAATGAACATGACCTAAGAATAAAATGACACAACTGCTATGAAAACCTTCCAGGAAGCTGAGTGCTGGAAAGGTGGCTTCTCTTTGGACAAGGACGGGGAGCAGGAGGGGAATATAGATACTTACATAGTAGGTATTGTCATTTTCATTGTAGGCCAACTTGACCACACCATAGGAGCCCTGGATAAAGGGAGATGCCCATGACATACTATCCAGAAGTTACAATCTGCAAAATGAGGACCCTAATGCAGAGGTTGCAAACTAGCAGCCCTTTGGTTAAATCTGCCCTGCAGCTGTATGTCATTGGACCTGCAGTTTTTACAAAGTTTGAATTAGTTGAGAACTTTTAAAAACATAAAGACCTGATATAAAAATCCAGATTCTCAGCCTCTTTTGACAAAGCTGGAAGATCTAGCCACATGCAGCCTCATTTCCATGTTAACAGTTTACCAGAGACCTCACTACTCCTTACTCTCATACCTAGCCTGCTTCGATCATGGAGCCTTCATCTCCATAAATTAACAATTTGCCACAGTCCTCACCACTCCCTACTGCATTATACCTAGAATGCCTCACTCATTTATTTCACTCACTTGTTTTCTACCGGCATTTGAGTTTCTAACTGTTGCAATGATACTGCCCACTGGCTGAAGCAAAAGCAAAAATAGATTGGAGGGTAAAAATAGATTAGGGGACAAAAACCCTACTAATGTGATGGGGATGTAACTATCACTATGATGATACGGGATTTCTCCAGAAGCTTTCTGAGCTTTTGCAGAAACACATTTAATTTTAAGGTAAAAAACACAAAACATTAAAAAACCTTAGACCATTAATGACAAAACCCTCCCACCAACCTGGCCTCCAAACACTCCTACTCCCTGCTCTAGAAGGTTCCCTCCACAACATCTGAGACATCCCTGGTGAATGCAGAAAACCAGCCTGGCTCCTGGGATAGTTACCTTTCCAATTTCATCCTTCAGTGTGTACTGATTCAGCTGCACGCAGTCCTAGAAAGTAAGTAGAGACACATGGAAAATGAACTAAATTTGCAAATAGATAAAATTTTCACAAACTAAACATATACATGTAATCAGAACCCAAATCAAGAGCTCCCTAGAAACTCCTCCCAGTCACTGCCCCCTCTCCACGGTGACCACTATCCTAACTTCAAATAGCACATTTTTTTTTTTGGAGGCTGGCTGGTAAGGGGATCCAAACGCTTGACCTTGTTACCAGTACCATGCTCTCCCAAGTGAGCTAACTAGCCAGCCCAGAACAGCACAGATTTTGCTTGTTGTTGCACTTTGTCAAAACATAATCATACAACATGTACTCTTTTAACACCCATTTTAAAAGATTATTCCCACTTTTTTTTTTTTTTTTTTTTGGTGGCTAGCTGGTACAGGGATCCCACTTTTAAAAAGTAAACAAGTAACCGTGACTACATTGTACAGTAAAAATATAAAGTGATCAGGGGTTTGGATCCCTGTGCAGGCCAGCTTCCAAAAAAACCAAAAACAAAAACAAAAAGTAAGGTGATATAAGAAAAGAAAATCTGTGCGACCTTGGGGTAGACAAAGGTTTCTTAGATAATTCACAAAAAAGTACAAAACACAAAAGGAAACAAATGATAAACTGGACTTCACCAATAGTGCTCTTCAAGACACTATTAAGAAAACAAAAAGGCAAGCCCAAGACAGAAACTACTCATCACACATGTATTACACAAATGACTGGTATCCAGAATATATGAAGAACTCTTACAACTCAATAAGACCAGCAACTCAGTTAAAAAACGGCAAAAGATGTGAACAGAAATTTCTCCAAAGAAGTTAAACAAGTGGCCAACAGGCACATGAAAAGATGTTCAACATCATTAGTCATCAGGGAAATGTGAATTAGAGCCACATACAACTAGTCTGGCTCATGTTGCAAAGACTGACCAGACCAAGTGTTAGTAAGAATTCAGAGTAAATGAAACCTTCACACGCTGCTCGTGGGAATGTAAAATGGTGCAACCTCTTTGGAAAACCCTTTGGTAATTTCTTAACATATGCCCACCATATGACCCAACCATTCTACTTCTAGGTATTTGCCCAAAATGAAAACATGTTTACAAAGACTTGTATACAAATGTTCACAACAGCTTTATTTGTAATAGTCAAAAATTGGAAGCAACCCAAATGTCCATCAAGAGGTGAATGGAAAAACACACTGTGGTACATCCGTACAATGGAATATTACTCAGCAATAAAAAGGAACAAATTATTGATACACACAACAACACGGATGAATCACAAAATCATTATGCTGTGAAAGAAGCTAAGCTAAAAAAAGAGTACATACTAAATGATCCCACTTACATAAAATTTATTACTTGCAAATTAATCTATAATGATTTTTTAAAAAGCAGAGGCCAGCCCAGTGGCGCACTGCTACAGTGCGCCGCTTGGGAGTGCGGTGGCGCTCCCACCGAGGGTTCAGATCCCACATACAGACCGGTTCCCGCTCACTGGCTGAGCGAGGTCCGGG